ATTACATTACATACATACATACATACATACATACATACATACATACATACATTACATACATACATACATACATACATTACATTACATACATACATACATACATACATACATACATACATACATACATACATACATACATACATACATACATACATACATACATACATACATACATACATACATTACATTACATTACATACATTACATTACATTACATTACATACATTACATTACATTACATTACATTACATTACATACATACATACATACATACATACATACATACATACATACATACATACATACATACATACATACATACATACATACATACATACATACATACATTACATACATACATACATACATACATACATACATACATACATACATACATACATACATACATACATACATACATACATACATACATACATACATACATACATACATACATACATACATACATACATACATACATACATACATACATACATACATACATACATACATACATACATTACATTACATTACATTACATTACATTACATTACATTACATTACATTACATTACATTACATTACATTACATTACATTACATTACAGTACATTACATTACATACATACATACATACATACTTACTTACGTACTTACTTACTTACTTGCTTACATTACATACATACATACATACATACATACATACATACATACATACATACACATACATTACATACATACATACATACATACATACATACATACATTACATACATACATACATACATACATACATACATACATACATACATACATACATACATACATACATACATACATTACATACATACATACATACATACATACATACATACATACATACATACATACATGTACATGCATGCATACATACGAGAGAGGGAGATTGGGGAGAGAGAGGCTTGGGGGGATGGGGAGGATGGGAGCAGAGGGAGGGAGAGAGGACGACAGAACACACAAGGGAGACAAGGAAGAGAGGAAGAAGGAGAAAAGGGAGAGGACAATGTCGGCGGACTGAGCCGGAGGCTCTAAAGTTTTTTCTTGAGGGTACCACGTTGCGGTGGTTTGAACGGTCTCCGGGAAGGCGGGAATGAACTTTCCAAGCTTTGACTAAGTTGATGTGGATTGTCATTCCCACCTTCACGGTTGCAACATGTTCAGGCCCGCGCGTGAGGGGACATGCACAGGTACTCAAGTTCGCAGCACCTCGGGAGGAGAGGCAAATCCTTGCGCTGATACTCACCGAGAAAATCAACAAAGAACCCCAAAAGGGGTCCTCTACAAATGTCGTTGGGTTGCGCGTTAATCTGCAGAGGCGTAAGCACGGGAACTCGCAATGTTTGACAAATGCTCAAACAAACACATCTAGAGCTCAGCCAGGGTCGAAGGCCTTCCCTTCAAGGCACGAGTCGGAGAATCCGCTTGACCCCCAGTTTAAACGATCAGCTTTGCCATCTGATTTGGATTCTCCCCGTGTCAAGCACATGGTTTCTCCCACTGTTGGTTCGGCTTCATCTACGTCGGGACTCTCCGCTCGGCCAGAACCCGCCCGAAAACGAGAGCCAAGGCCGAAGCTGCGGCTCTGGCTGGGAGTCCGGCACAGCCTTCGTGTTTGGATAGTGCGTCGGAGCGGTAGGGCCGACGTTCAACCAACAAACCACCAGAAAACCACCAGAAAACCAGAGAACCACCAAAAAAGCAGAGAACCACCAGTCAAACAGAAACTCTGGGAACCATCATTGAAAAGACTCACGAATCAACCCCTAGGATTGGGTTCAAACAAATGGGGTTCCTTTCGCATTCTACACACGTGCAGGTCGGAACCTTGTGAAAACCTGAGGCAGTGGACATGGGAACGCAGCCCCTCGAAAGGTAACCCGTTTTGGTGCGAAGACCGTGCAGTGGGGATCCAAATCCCAGTCATGGAAAGACAAGGGATTCTGAAAACTGTGCATAGAAACCAACATGAGGCTATTTAAACGGATCATGGATCTTGCTCATCTTGCCTCAAATCAGTACCCTCGCTATAACAAGGGAGGATGGTGCCGCCGCCCCGCATAAGGTTTGGAATACAGCCTCGCTACTTACCTGGGGGTTTTGGAATGGAAGAATCGCCATCCCTACTAAACCCTCTCTTCCCTCGGAGTTGCCTACGTTTCGACTTACATCACCCCAAGAGGAAAAACGCTTGGCTACAACAACCGAACAGGGAAATGGGGCATCTGAGGCCAGCCATGAAAGAAGGGCACCCTTTAGTAAATGTGTTCAAAGTTCCCTCCAGAAAAATGAAGAGAGGCCACTGGGTGTTGAGTCCACCAGGAAACAACTGACCCAGCCAAGGCATCTCACGGCGACCGAGCCTGGCAGAAAATGACTGCAGCAGTTGCTGTCTGGCAGCACGCTTGCTCGCCTGCAATTCATCTGGAAGTTTCGCAACAGTGGTGGGTATTTAAAGGGAGACCAAACGGAAACCATTTCAAAGACTTGGAGAAACCCCACCAATGTGTCTGAAAGACTCGCTTCGCTGTGTGGGCCAATATGAAAGGGCAACAAGGACATGTGACATAAGGGCCTGGTGTTTTTGGCCCCATAATTTTGTTCGGTGAGTTGGTGATTTGCCTGGATCCACGCTTCAACCCTGCATCCTAACGTCGAACCCCCGCGCCCCCCAAAAGTGATATCCAGATACCCTCAAAAATGAGACAGTCCCCAGTCAGAGTCAAGGGTTTTATTATTCCCTGCAAATGAGCATGGAACCCCTAAAACGTCCCCCCCCCCCCCCCCCCACAAACCAGTTTCCTCTCAAAATGACAGTTGGGGCCGGGTTCCATGTTGATCTGGGCATGCTGAGAGGGAAGGGTGCTCTCTCGATGCAAAATTACTGAACCAAGCAAGCCGTCATGTTCTATCTGGACCCTCAAACCATCCCTTTAAAATGGGGATGCGACCCAAAATTACGGAGGATCCCCCCTATTGAGGACAGTTTCTTTCGAGGTTCCCTGCCGCCTGCAGCTTCTTCCCGCGGACACGCGCCGCGCTGCGCCTCCCGGAGGAGCCGTTGCTTCTCGCAGGCGTGCCAGCGGGGCAGCGGCTCCAACGACGAAGGTGAAGGCCTTTGGATCGGTTTTGGTCAGCTCACCCCAAAGCTGTGGAAAGAACAAGCCTTGCACATAGCCCCGACAAAAACCCATGGTTTTCAGGGAAGCCTCTTCTCTGGCCAAGCTGCGGAGTAAACCAACACCTGGTCCCCTTACAGAAACCAAAATGGGGCTGTGTAAACAAAAGTGGTGCAAAGATCTGCAAGTTCGACAAGTAGTCCAAAACCAAACTGGCCCAAATGAGTTCTCAAAATGGCGGACCCCCCTTTGTGGCATTTCAAAAGGAAACCAAAAGGAAACCAGCAGCTTCTTCCTTGGCCCAATATCCTTGAGCCGACTCGAGGCTCTGTGGGCTGCGGCCGCCCGAAGAGCCGATCCTGGAGCGCCCAAAGCTTGGGGGCACACCAAAATTCTGAGTGTATTAACTATTACCCCAGGTTTAAAGGGTCATTGAGACTTTGCGGGCTCTTGGTTGTATCCCAATGGTTAGGTTCATACAGCCGACTAGAAGCCGTCTGCCAGGCGGGCCAAACTGGCCCAAAGCGCATGGGCAGAACCACTCACTTGGCGCGACAGGCAGGGACCAAAAGAACCGACGGACCGTCCTGCTGTGCCTTCCTTTGGGAGAAGGCTGTGCCATTGGGATGCATCAGACTGCAGCGGACTTGGCTGCAGGCAACCTGACCTAAACTCGTCGCACAAAAAAGGAGTGGGCAACAAGGTGATGCTTAAGACCAGCAAGAGGGACATACAGGGCTGCCGGTTCGGCTGCTCGAAGCAGTTGCCTGACGTGTGCTAGATTGCATCATTCATGAAGCTGCTTGCATGTGCATAGCCTCAACAGCTTGACTGCCTGCATGGTATGTCGACAAGTCAGCCCAGCAAAGGGAAGGGCGGTGCTTGGTCATGGATTGGTCTGACATATCTGGTCTGTCATGTCTGCGGAATGACAGCCATCTAGCGAGAATGCATTGCAAATACAAGTACACCATGTGTGGAGTGTTGCAAACGGAAACAGGACTTAGTTGAACACAACTTGCAACACGTGACAATCCCAGCAAAGTATCACAGGTTGTGTCAATCCATTGTCCCCGATGGTGCAAGCGGAGCCTCACCAGCCTCACCTCGAGTCTCCAAGCTTTTTTCGCGAGAACACTTTCGGATCCCATTTTCGGTGTTCGAAATGGCCGCTATGTACATCCGATTCGCTCCGCTCACTCAGGTCTCAGGTCTCCGTCGGGTCCGGGTTTTGCATGGCCGCGTGGCGCCAAAGACTCGCCAGCACCTCGAGCCGGTTCCACCCGGAACCGGAACCGGGCAGCGGATGGCTCCGGTTGCATCGGAAAGAATGGGATGTGAAGGGATCTTCATGAGCTTGAGCGTACGATTTGCCCAAAAGGGCAAGAGTGATAACTGCAAACAAGCGGAAGCCAAGTGAGTCGGCTCAGCTCCAGCGCCATGAAAAAGGCCGAGAACCTTTCCGACGTCCGACTTGAGGTTTCGATTGGACCGCCCCGCCTGCTCAGTAACAGGGTCTCGGGCTTGTCCGGCCCCATCCTCGATTGAAAGGTCCGGTTCATCTCATAGCCACGGTAAATATTTTCAGCTGGTGTCCCTCAATGACATTGGAATTTGGTGAGTAAAATAACCAAGATCCAGGAATTTCGACAACGTCTCAACTGAGTCGCGAGCCTCTGGCAAGCCCCGAGTTGTGGGTCGATCTGCCTGTCCCCGCACTTCTTCCAAAGAAAAAACACTGACAAAATGAACGGGAAAAACAAAACGGGCAAACGGGCCCTGAGGCTAGCACGTGTCTCACTGGAGGGCTGGGCTCGGCTGGGCCACCTGGCATCAAGCCAAATGTCGAGGCACCAAAAAAGAGGCATACTGTCAGACCACATCCTGTACGTGTCTGTTGAGCGTACCCTTCTTGGGGTCAGCGTGAAGGGACACCAAAATCAAAAAGGTCCCCCCATGTTTTGCCCCTGTGACATTCCTCAGGGTTGGCAGCGCATGCTCTTGTCGCGAGCTGCCTGTGACGAAGAGTCATGATGTCTTGATCAAGCATGCGGTCTGTTAGAAGCAGCTGATGTACTTCCAAGATTAGCATGGAAGGAGAAGGGCCCCAGGAGGTTCCTGCAAAACAAGGTGCTGTACCCTCCCGCGAACACGAAAGCTGACAAAAGGGTTCTTTAGGAACATCCTCTTCTGACCCAAAACATGTTTACCCCCAACTAAAGTGCATAGACTCACGAAGAAAGGCTACTTTCCTCTTGGAAAGGGGCTTTCTGCACTTCCATGTTGCTTGGTGGGAGGGTAGTTCTCACAAACTCTAGGGGTTGATTCCCCATTCTTTTCAACCATCGTTCTTTTCAAAAACCGATCGCTGTTTCGCCTGGGGTTCTGATGGTTTTCCAGAAAGAAGGATCCCTGGAAAGAATGGGGGAGTGTCCCCTGGAAAAACGTCCAGGTCCTGCGTGACTCACGCGAGCGAAGCTTCGGAAGCCCGGGCCTGGGCTGCCCGGGTCGCTGGGGCCGCCCCCTCCCCCCGGGTCAGCTGGGCTGGGGGGCTCCTGGCACGCCAGGGCTGTGCGCCAGAAGCTGGGGGGGGGGGGGTTGTTTTGTTGCAGGGATCTCCTTTTGGTTTCTCTTTAAACCACCAACCTAAAGCCGGGGTACCGCAAAAATGGGCAGGGTACCCCCCCCCCCCAAACGGAAATCTTAAATTTTGGCTTCTCCTTCAACCCCGAAAAGGAACCTACCCTCAAAAAGAGGCACACCCAACTTGAGCGCGCCTTGGAGTGAGCGCCGCGTCCTCGGCTGTCTCGCATCTCGGTCGGTTTCAGCAAGCCGAGGCCTCCGAGGGCCCGGCGCGGCGACGCACCTCGGAGCTTGGCCAGCGCCAAGCTGGGCTTTTCTGGCGACTCTCCTTTTCAGGCCCCTTTGAGAGAGAGTCTGTGACAGACTCAATGCGGATGCCACGTCTAGATCTGCAAAAAAGACTCCTTTTAACTTCGTTGATGTGTTTCTATCTGACAACACTCCTTTTGATTTATTTGATTTGTGTTTCTTCGATTCCTTCTGATTGCAATCCAAACCTTCCATCGAGGCGATGGCCGAGCTCACTCTGCCAGGGTCTCAGCACCGCCGCCTGAAGTTGCACCCGCTGCATGGTGGAAAATCACCGCTGGTTGATATCAATCCGTGTCATTCTCACTTGATCACTGTGAAGGGGATTCTTCGCATCCCGGAGAGGAACGGATTCCTGTCATAGGGAAAGTGGGGCATGCCCAAAGATATGTTGGAGGATCCCCCCCCCGCAGAAAGGTGAGCCTGATCCTCTTAAATGGGGTGCCCCCTATTCATGGACCAGGGTTCGGGTCAAAACTGGCTGCCCGAAACATGGGGCCGGTCATCCCACCCCGAAAACCCAGGCTAAACCACCAACCCAAAACCTACCCTAAACCACTTGGTGCCCCCAAAACCCACCTTCCAGAACTCCTGCCTGGATCGAGTTGATCGCATTGTCAAAGTGGCGCACGTAGTTCTGGTCCAGAAACGCGCCCGAATGTGCATGATCCACGCCCAGATCCCGCCCGAGATATCTTTGCCAAGGTTGGCCCCACAAAAAGGGAACATGGGTTGCCACAAAGGGATTTCTAGGGGTCGCAATCCCCCCCCCAAAAAAAAAACCCAAAAAAAAAAAACGTTTTGTTTAGGTAGGCATGACTCCGGAGCACTCTGGCCTCAAACCGATTTTCAAGCTCCTCCTGGCGAGAGAGGAAGCGGCGCTCGACGTCTCTGGCGGCCTGGCATCCAGTCCCTCAACCCTTGAGACCTGGTGCGCGACCCATGGGTTCGAACAAATCGGTGCTTTCTGCTGCACACGAATCAGCTGGAACACGGGTTTGCTAGACGGGGTCTGACCCATTTCTCTCATGGATCTATGTGGTCATCAGTGGTTGGACCCGTTTGTGGACATCGGAAAAACCGTGCTTGCATTTCTGCCCACCAAGCATTTCGAGGGAGTTCCCAATTCAAATTCAAATCACAGCCATGTGGGTTGGTGTGAGTTGGTCTAGGTTGATCCTGATCGGTCGGCCTTGGGATGGCTCGATCTAGGAAGCTGGATTTCAAGGGTTCAACGGGCCGCATCTTGCCCAAGGCATGCTTTCTGCTCTTCCAAGTGACAGCACATTCGTGCGGGACCCGTGTCATCTGTCGCGCGCTCTGCGCGCCCAAAATCCAGTGCAGGTTGTTTGTTTTCACTAAGATTCTGAGTGCGACGATATGGTACAAGCCATGCTTCACCCAAAGGAACGAAAGCTTCACACACGCCATTCACTTCAGCCACTGGTTACTCGTTCCAACCCAAGCCCCCCCCGGCCTTCTCAGCCTCCCGGCGAAGAGCCTTTCCCTGGGCCGGGAATGGAATCCCGTGGCGTTAAGTGTCTGGCAAACCGCCTTCCCGGCCGTTGAAATGGAGACCCAACCGGCCAGGCTTTTTCGAAACACCGGGGCGGAACGTGAGATCAACGGGTCAGCATTGTGCGTACACCGGCTGAAGATCTTGCTCTGGAGAAAAAACTGGTCCCAGGTCGAGGTTTTCCTGAAGTCTCCACCCTTTGAACATGTACCCAGAATTTGGAGCAACAGCCTTGTTTGGACGGCTCCAAGAAAGGGCCTCAAAAATATGGGCCCCGTCCGACTTGCAAGGAGCCCAAAATGTGCAAAATGTCCTTGGCTGGCAGCAGAGCTTGAGTCATAAAGCCTGATGTTCAAGTAAATGGACCCTCGAACTAGCCTTGAAACAGGGATATCAGCCCATAAATTTGAGCATCCAGTTCTAAGGGTAGTTTGAGGGTCCAGATACCCAAAAATGTGTAAAGAATTGAAAGGGCTTTTCGCAGGCATCTATTTCCGTTGAAGTTCTTTGCAAAAACTTCCTTGTAGCTCATTTCCTCTGTGAAAAAAGCACTCGAAGGGCAGAACGCACAACACTTCGTGACCGAAGGTTGACCATGATGAATCAGCCTGGTGAATATTAATATATTATTTTTTTTGGGGGGGGTTCCCCAAACAGCCAAGTGGGGCACCCCTCTATTAATCAACCAATGGTTTCCTGATCCTGGCTTCCGATTACCTGGCTTGTGCAAGTGAGTGCTCACTATGGTCACTCACTGGTTAGGTACCCTGCCCCTGGCAGTGTATAATGATATGAGCAACGCTCAAAATATGCGCTGGCCCAAAGGGCATGGGAGTCGGGTTTTGTGGGACATGTCGTTTTCGTCCCCACAAGTCCCTCCCATAGCCTGCTGGGAATGGCGAGAACCTCTGATGGCTATTAATTCTAATCCCAGCGAATTGTGCTGTCCACCAAAGGGTCCAGTACCCGCTAAATTCATGGCAGACCCGAAACAAGCTTTGCCAAATGGTCGTTTTTTTAAAAGGGAAGCCAATGGGGGGTCCGCCCCATTTTGAGACATACCCAAACTTGTTCCAGGGTGGTTGAACCATCTCCTTTTGGGCTTCTTTGGAATTGGCCACATGGTATGAGCCTTTCTCCTTTCCAAAGACCCCGACCACTTTTTTGAGGAAAGAGGGCAACATGTCCCTCCGCACCCGAGAGCCCCACACAGAAGGGCCTTTCCTATTTGTGTGGTGCTGCCAAAATGAGGGGTGTCCCAAAATGAATCGAAGAGGAGCCCCAAAAAGAGGCACGCCCAGGTTCAACGAGACTATGGAAGAGACCCTTTGGCACGAGGGGCCTCGTCTTCCTGCACATCGGCTGCCCGCATCAACTTGCCCCGCAACTCCTGAAGGGAGGGCATGTTCAGGGAAAAAGTAACATCCAAATATATAAGTCCCATTTTGGGCTTGAAAGAGGCTGAAGTATGTTGGCCCCAGGTTTGGTGGCTAAACATCCTCGATGGGTTATGACCCTGGCATCAAATCATGGTTGGGGGAGGAACATGTGCAACGCCCTCTTCGTGGAAACTGAGAGGGATTCCATCTGACGAAAACGGAGAGCACATCAGCTTGTGGTTTTCATGTTCGGAGCTTATGAAACTCCTAACCGGCATATGGAATGGCGGTTGCATGTCCCAGCTCGGGCCTAAACATTGCAGCTAAGATTGAAAACTCAAATGCGTGTGAATTTTAATGGGGAATTGATTGCGGCAGGTTGAACACTGGGGGTCAGCGTTAGTTGCTTGTTGCTTCGACCTTTAACTTCTCACTTCTTTGCAGAGAATGGTGGCCCACTTTTTGCAGGTCAAAGAGCAGCTCGGAACACTCTTAAGAGGAAACCCCCTCAAAAGAAATCCCACCGCTCCGGATCCCCTCTTGAAGGGGACGTCCCCCCTTCATCAACCTCCGGAATCGCTTGTCGCTGCATCTTTCCTTTTTTGCTTCTAGGTCAAGGTGTCTGCACACAAGGAGCAACTTGGCCACCTTTTGTCTGGGCTGTACTCCTCCCGGCTTCCCAGCAAGCTCCCGTATTTTGCGCGTTGTTTCCCGTTGTTCACCCTCCAACACACTGGATGGATGGACCCCCACAAACGGCGCTCTCCGCGTCCGAGACCCCGAAGCTTCGCCGCGGCCTCCGCCACTTCGGAGGTCTTGTGCTCCCAGGCCTGCACCTGAAAACGGCTCCACCGTTGGATGCGTGTTTTCTTCCCTTCGGGTGGCTAGCTGAAGCCACGAGCCACATCCGAAAAAAGAAAAGAGCAGATACGTCTCTCAAAAGAAGTGATGGTAGTCTGAAAAACCTGTAGAATCAGTGTAGAAACTTCTCCAAAGACAAACCCGTGGTAGTCTTGTTCTTGCACACACAAGTCCCCTGCTTCTCTTTCAATACCTTGCACATAAGTTCCTGACTTCCCCAAGAAAAAAGATGGGTGTCAAAGGAAAACTCTGGGAAAACGTGCCCTCATGAACTTTGGGAAACCCCCAAAAACAGCGGTTGGTGGATATAATGTCCAAGTCCCGCCTGAAAATGCGTACACACGCCTCGAAACACGTTGGACTGCCCCCAGAACGCCGGGCTTTCCCTTTGGGTTCACTGTCAAGCCTTTTCAAATGGCGTTCTAGTTGGCTTCCCTGTAAGGTGGTACCAACTCAAACTCCACATGCTTGTGCAATCTCCCCGTCTTAAAGAGTAGTTTGCGGGTGCAAGTTTGAAACCAATGTTGAAAAGGGTACCAACTCCAGCAGAAAACAAAAAAAAAAACATCGCCCCCATCCCGGGCCTAGCCTGCTGCGCAAAACCCTTCTGGAGGTTCGCAACCTGCTCCTTGAGGTCCCGTAGCAGCCGCCCATCTGTGCAAAAAAAGAGGCCACGGTGAAAGAAATATGGCTGTGGCTCAAAAAAAACGGTACCAAAATGGGATGTGCCAACATAGGGAGACCAAGGGAAACTCACCCATGAGCCAAAAAAAGGTTATCTTTGAACCACCAAAAAGACGGGGACCAAGGGAAACCCACCCATGAGCCAAGAAGGTGCTCTTTGAAAAAGATATCAAGGAAAACTGAAGAAATATGACGACCCCGAACAAATAAACCCCTGTGTACTAATATGGGGAGCGGTTCCCTCCACCAAAAGTCGTAAACGCCCACTAAAACCAGGGACACCCCCATATTGGATCAATGAATGGGTGAATGCACGGACAAACGGACGGACGGATGGACGGACGGACGGATGGATGGATGGATGGATGGATGGATGGAGCGACCTGCAGGGCTCTGCGGCCAACGGGAACGGAAACCACCCCCTCGGAAAAAAGCGCTTTCCCCATTCTCCTAAAGTTCCATGTGTTTTCATTTGTTCCCTATTGGTCCCCGTGCCCCCCAATTGGAGCTGGCACGGGGGTGGTAGGAGAGTCAACAGCTGACATCATTCAGCTGACTCCACGCCTGCAGCGGACTCGCGGGCCGAGCCTCAATTGAGCCCAGAGGAATTTCCCCACCGCGAGGGGTGGGCGGTAGGGTTGTTTCTCAAAATGGCGGGTTGTCTCCAAGTATTGGGCGGACGCCAACCAAGGGAAACGTCGCCTATTGGGCCCAAAACTGTGATGTTTAGAACCAAAAAGCAAAATACATTGAGCCTCACAAATGGGCTCCTTTCGTGTGCTCTCATCCCACCAAATGTTGCGGACAATTGGAAAATTGGGATCCAGGCCCCCCGTTTTGAACTACCTGCTGACGGAGTTTGCCAAAGTGGCAGGCAAAAAGACCGCAAAAACATATCCCCAACAAGAACCCTCCGGAACCCTTCTGGAAACTCAGCGCGGAGCTCCAGAACGACATCCCAAAGCTTTCAGCTGTTGTTGACAATCGCGAGAAGAAAAAAACAAACAGGCGCTATCTCCAACAGCAACCCCAGAACCCTTCCGGAACCCTTCGGAACCCTTCTCCGGAGCCTACCTATGAAAAATAAACTAAAAACAAAACCGCTTGAATGTATACGTCTTCTCTTTTTCAAGCGAAGGTCAAGATTATGAATGCTCCCAAATTCCCCCACCAAACCTCACAACCCATGGCCATCTAGGAGCTTGAGGGCGAGTTTCTCGTAAGATCAAGTACTGTAGTTAACGCTTCATTGACCGATGAAGGGGCTCCAGAGGGAGGCACCAAAAAAGGGTGCATGCATGCGACCATTGATTCCAATCCTTCGAGGCTCCTTGCTCTCTTGCTCTCTCCTCTGAAAAGTAGGTCGCATGGACGTCCGGCACACTTTTGACAAGTGGCCTTCGTCCCCAAGATGGTTGTCCACAAGTGGGTTGTCTCAACAAATGCCTGGTATTGAAGTGGTCTACCCCAATCCATGTACGGAAATTAAAAGGCGGCCGCACCTATTGCCCCTTACTCATCTGCATCCACCCGGGATTTTTTCTTGTGGATCAAATGGATGTTGGTCTTCCTCTTGGCTCCAACCCAAAACAACAACCCAAAAAGGGGCACCGTGCCTCAAAACGCCACGGGTCCCGACTCTTCCCGCCGCCCAAATGTCACTAGCCGAGCCACCCGGGTGAACTCCGGCATCACTCAGGGCCGCATCCACGTACCGCGACAGGCGGTCGGCGCGATCCGCGTTGACCTGGGGAGGTGTATGGTAGCCCAAAAAAATGGTCCGGGCATCAGGGAAACCCCCGAGTTGATGGTGATTTAATATGATTTTGGGGTTACAAAAGCAACCTGTTAGGGCATCCGGACGAATTGCCGGGTGCACGGCCTGTGCCAAACTCCAAGCCGGTAGAGGGATGGGTCAAAAGACCTGCGTGGATGTTGTCCACAGTATTTTGCTTCGATAGGTAGGGAATGAGCTGAAACCACGGAAATAACTTTCATGTTCAGTGGTTCCCTTCATCGTTAGGTTCACCCGAACCCCAGTCAAGTTGTTTGAGACGGACAGAAAGGACTCCCCTGGCTTTTGTGGAAAACTGGGCAAGTTCCCCGTGCCCCTCCTAAATTAGGCCATACAACTCGGGAAACGTTGACGAAACTTCCTTTGAAGTAAACCAAAGACAGAGGAGGCTAGTGAAGGCATTGAATCCTACGAATCTACCTGGAGCCTCAAAATCCCCCTTAAACATGGAAGAGTGCCCCCATAAAAAATTGGGGAAGCTTCTATTTGTTGAGCTCTTTCGGCATGGCTGTGCGGGGAGGCCAAATTTGGCTTTGAAGGGAACAAAAAAAAAGCGCAAGCCCAGCTACTTCGGGGGGGGTCCAAACCTCATTTGAAATTCCGAATCCCTGTCGACACCTTGAACCCGAGCCTTGCGGATGCGATCCAGCTCGATCACCACCGTCTCCGCCTCTCGTGCAGGCAGAAGGGCAGGCAGAAGGGGCCCCGAAGTAGGTGGCCCCTTGTCGGCCTCCTTGGAATGGGTTTGGATTTGTGGTTGGATTGGTGGTTTGGAGGTGTTCCAAGATGGTTTTAAGGTCAAATCACCAAACCACGAATCCAAACCATCAAGGAAGCTGTTCCCGATCTTGTTCCATGCTTCCCTAGTTTCCAACCCACTTTTCTCAAATTGGTGTAATTGTCCCTTTTAGCAACGTGGTAAAAAGTGACTAAAGGGAGTACATACAAACACCTGACCTTACTTTAACACCCAAAATGCGGGGCACTGCTTCGTATCTTTAAAGGCGGCACAAAGTGGCAGCAGGGTCCAAATAGTGGCAATACGTTTGGCAACCCCCCGCATGGTTGTGAAGAGCAACCCTTTCTGCAATACCAAAGTGGTTGATTCCCATCGCGACTTCATCACTAAACTAGAAAGTCATATTACCTAAAACTCCAATTTTGCACAACCATGGCAGACCCCTTCCCAAAAAGAAAGCTGGATGCCCCACTGGAGCCTCAATGAAATGGTTGTGGCCCTAAAACCGATTTTCTCCACTACCATGCTTCAAACGGCTCGAAGTGTTCCCACAAAGCCCTAAGGATGCCCAGGTCAAAATGTGGGGGCTGTTGGGATATGGGCCCCTTGCAACCAACAAAAACAGGTACCCTTAACAAACAGGCTGAGGAATCGAAATCAAATTAATTCAGGATCAAAAAACAAGTAGTAGTGGTAGCCGTCGTCGTCGTTGTTGTGGTAGCAGTGGCAGTAGCAATGGTAGGAGTAGTATTAGTAGTAGTATTAGTAGTAGTAGTAGTGGTGGTAGCAGTAGTGGTAGTAGCAGTAGTAGTTGTAGTAGTAGTAGTACTACTACTACTACTACTACTACTACTACTACTACTACTACTAGTGTAGTACTGGAGTAGCACTAGCAGTAGCAGTAGCAGTAGCAATAGTAGTAGTAATAGGAATAGAAAAGTGGTAGTAGTAGTTGTTGTTGTAGGAGTGCAGTAGTAGCAGTCGTCGTCGTCGTAGTAGCAGTAGAAGCAGAAGTAGAAGTAATAGAAGTAGTAGAAGCGGTGGTAGTAGTAGGGAGGCGTAGCAGTAGCAATGGCAGTAGCAGCAGCACTACTACTAGTAGTAGTGATGGGAATAGACATAGTTGTAGTAGCAGTAGTAGTAGTAGGCGGAGTGCAGTGGTAGCAGTCGTAGTCGTAGTCGTGGTAGTAGTGATAGTAGCAGTGGCTTTTGCTTTGGTAGTGGTAGTCGTACAACTACTGCTGCTGCTGCTACTGCTACTAGTACCAGTAGTAGTAGTAGTAGTAGTAGTAGTAGTAGTAGTAGTCGTAGTAGTAGTAGTAGTCGTCGTCGTGGTCGTAGTAGCAGTAGAAGTAGAGGTAGAAGTAGAAGTAATAAGTAGTAGAAGTGGAAGTAGTAGTAGTAGGAGGCGTAGCAGTAGCAGTGGCAGTAGCAGCAGCACTACAGCTAGTAGTAGTGATGGGAATAGAGCAGTAGAAGTAGTAGGCGGAGTGCAGTGGTAGCAGTCGTAGTCGTAGTCAAAGTAGTAGTGATAGTAGCAGTGGCTTTTTGCTTTGGTAATGGTAGTCGTACAACTACTTCTGCTGCTGCTGCTACTACTACTACTACTACTAGTACCAGTAGTAGTAGTAGTAGTAGTAGTAGTAGTAGTAGTAGTCGTGGTAGTAGTAGTAGTGGTAGTAGTAGTAGTAGTCGTACGAAACTAGAACTCGTACTAATAGTGCTAGCAATAGTTGTAGTCGTCGTCGTAGTAGTAGTAGGACTGGCAATAAGAATGGTAGTGGTAGAAGTGGACCTAGAAGTAGAAGTAGAAGTAGAAGTAGAAGTAGTAGTGGTGGTAGTAGTAGTAGTAGTAGTAGTACTAGTACTAGTAGTAGTAGTAGTAGTAGTAGTGGCAGTCGTAATGGCACTAATAGAGGAGCAGTAGCAGTAGCACTACTACCGCGCTGACTGCCCCTTCTTCCACGCTCACTTTCACTACCTCCTCCTTCAGTTCCACTCTTTTCATCCTACCAACCGGCGTACCTGCTAACTTACTAACTTGCAAACTTGCTTGCTAACTGATTCTCCGTCTCCGCGCCGGATACTGACTTACTAACCGCCTGTGCTCCAAGGTGCACAGGATGCTAACTTACTAACTGTCTTCTCCTTTACATAGTCTGGAATGATTTGCTTTTGATCCCGAACGATGTCTTTTCATCCTAGGTGTCATTTGTTTTTGATGAGTATGCCTTAGAAACACACACACATCCATATCACCTCAGGCATCGCGGCCTGCTTCTTGAATGCATTCTGCAGTGCTGCCACTTCCGTACCGATGGCCCTCCGAGCCGCCTGACAGGCGAACTGCACGGAGCTCGGACTCAAACTGAACCCTAGAAGCAACGGGGCGGAGAAAGCACCTGGCGGTTTGGCAGCACCACTTTTGACGTTGGTTTGATTGTGTGTAGGAAAACCATACATCTTTAGGGTTCCCCCCCCCCCCCATTTTGACACATGCATGTTCTTGGCCGTAACCCCATGAAACCAAGTAGAACCACCCAGAGAGCCACCGTTTGCTCACGTCTTCCGCTCCATGTCGCTCCATGTCGGCTTCCGAGCCTCGGTGACTTCCTCTTCGATGCGCTTCTCATCCTGGGAAGGCTCGTGGCTGCAACTCTTCTGCTGCCAAGCGGGAAATTTGATCTGCACACTGCCACACATCCAGCACCCAAAGTTAGATCAGTAAGAAAGGGCCAATACAAAAACCTTAAAGTGGCGGGGAAGCGGGGGGAAGCGTCCGTTGTTTGAGGCACCAGTTTTGGGTGTAGCCTTTTGTTGGGGGGAGGGGGGTTAGTTTGTGGGCACTTGGGTGCCAGTGCTTGGTCCCATTTCAAAAAAAAAAAGCTACAAAAAGGGAAGCTTGGGCCAAGCCGGTGATATTTAAAGCACGCTAAAACCACTCAGGGGGAAATCTGTGGAGATTCCTGGTGGCCAAGTCCCCTTCACTCGAAGTTTGGCTCAAAGCTGGCGAACCCACAAAGGCTTGTTGCTGTTTGGGGATTCCCTTTATATACGAGGAAGTTTTTTTGGGACCCCAAAATCCACCGACATTGTTTGGCGTATCGGATATCTAAGAGAGGATAACCCCCCGGTTAGTCTCTCCCGGGACACGTCAATTACGCAGGGTTTCGTCCCCCCCCTCCCCCACGTACCGCGCGGCGATTTGATGACGTTCCACTAAACGTAGTCTTCGGGGAGCCGGTGTCGCAAAACAGGGGTCCCAGGCTCGATTCCCCTGCCGGCTTTTTGCTGGTTTGGGTTTCCTGCTTGCTTTTGCAGAAAATCTGGAAAACTCTGTGTTTTTGGATGTCCTCTTTGCTGGAAAACCTGTGTTGTTTGTGGAAAATACTGCGGAGCCAAGGGGAAATGCAAGGAAGTGCAAGGAAACATCTGGAAAAACGCTGTGTTTTTGGACGTCCTCTTTGCGAAAATGCTAGAAAAAACAGTGTTTGTTGCGGGAAATACTGGGGAGCAAACGGGAAATGCAAGGAAGTGCAAGGAAATGAGGGGAGGAAATAGGAAGTCCACATGTCAGGAAAGCAACGGGAAATGAGAGAGAGAGAGAGAGAGAGAGAGAGAGAGAGAGAGAAAGGGAGACAAAGGGGAACTGAAAGGGACATGACAGGGACAGAAATGAAAACGAGGGGAGTACAGGGGGAATGACAGGGAAACAAAGCGCAATGAAACCAATCGGCACGACGAGAGATGTAGGGAAACGAAAGAACGGGACATACATGGAAAATGACACGGACCTACCGAGAAAATGTCAGGGACATGAAGGGGGAGTTGAAAGGAATGGAAGGGACATGACCAGGACATCACGGGAGACGTGAAAAGGACATGAAGGGGAAATCAAGGGGAAAGCCAGTAGTGAGATGCCAGTTCAGGGTCATGAAGGGGCAGTGCCGGGATATCGAGGCAACTCAGGGGGGACGTGACGCTGCAATGCAGAGAGAGAGAGGGAGAGAGAGAGACAGGGAGAGAGCGGGAGAGAGAGAGAGAGAGGGAGATGTAGGAGAGAGAGAGAGAGAGAGAGAGACACAGAGAGCGAGAAAGAGAGACAGAGCGAGACAGAGACAGAGCCAGAGTCAGAGAAAGAGACAGAGAAAGAGACAGACAGAGAGAGAGAGAGAGAAAGAGAGAGACAGAGAAAGAGAGACACAGAAAGACAGAGAGAGAGAGAGAGACAGAGAGAAAGAGCGAGAAAGAGATAGAGAGAGAGAGAGAAAGAGAGAGACACAGAAAGACAGAGAGAGAGAGAGAGAGAGAGACTAGGTCCTCCAGTAGAGAGGGAAGAATTAGGGTACCCTTTTTCTGTAGAGGGGCGTGGACAGGAAGGAGACAGGCAGACAGAAAGAGACAGAGAAACAGAGAAACAGAGAGAGAGAGAGAGAGAGAGAGAGAGAGAGAGACGGACAGAGAGAGAGAGAGAGAGAGAGAGAGAGAGAGAGAGAGAGAGAGAGAGAGAGAGAGAGAGAGAGAGAGAGAGAGAGAGAGAGAGAGAGAGAGAGAGAGAGAGAGAGAGAGAGAGAGAGAGAGAGAGATATAGAGAGGGAGATTCAGGAGGGAGAGGCTTGGGGGGAATGGGGAGGATGGGGAGCAAAGGGAGGGACAGAGGACGACAGAACACACGAGGGAGACAAGGGAGAGAGGAAGAAGGAGAAAAGGGAGAGGACAATGTCGGCGGACTGAGCCAGAGGCTCTAAAGTTTGGTGTCCATGCTCCATGCTGATTTGATGGGAAGCGCCCTCCCACCAATTGACATGGAACCTGCAGGGACCAAGTCCCTTTAACAGGAAGATGGTCCAAACCAGCACCCTCCGAACGTCAGGTTCCATGTTAATTTGCAGGGGAGGGTAACGCCAACCAAAAAAGTGTGTCAAGAAAACGGAGACGCCACCCCGCTATGAAAACAGGCGCTGGAACCGATGCCTGCAGCCGCGTCCGGCGCTCCGCGTCCAGGGTTTCACCGAGCTGCCGTAGAGTCGCCTCAACCTGGACGCCAGGAAATAGGCCTCCAAAAGGTGTGGACCCTGACAGCCACAGTGGGATTCTCATGGTTGTTCCTCTTCTTTTTTCAGAGGGTGCCCTGAAAAACAAGTCACCTCCATTTGGCTTCCCTTCAAACTGTGAACCCACCCCCCCCAAAAAAATGGCAGCCTCGCAGAAAGACGCGCTCATGTGTGAAAACCCTGGACACTCTTTAGCAGCCCCTCCTCCTTATCTGTGGGAACCACCCTGTGGAAGCCAGTGGGCTGCTGTCGGGCTCTATGAGAAATCTTCAGGATTGCGTTCTCGCCTTACAGGGGGGTCCATCGGTATCACAGAAATTGGTCCTACAACTAAGTGGTCCAGAAGTCGAAAACGACAAAACGGCTTGAAGTGCCCCACAAACTCCTCAGGATGCCTTTGTAAAATATGTGGGGACTGTCGAGATAACATTCCTTACCTTCCTTTTGGCGTCGCTCCCGGCAAACATGCCATTGGCCCAACGAGCGATGTTGCGGGGCATTCGGCCCTATGGCTCTATCACAAAGAGGGATGCAAGGTGGCCAAACCTCGAGTAGGGGAATTGAATGGATTCCTTCTGGCTTGGCAAAAAGGATTAGCCTCTCACCTTGAGAAGTCAGTCAAGAGCAAGGCCAAAGTTCAAACATTGTCTAGTGCGGGCGGCCATGTCCATGCAGGTCCAATTCTCATGCTCTGCAAGAAACATTGCTTTTTGATCAGATCCTTCGTGTCCTTTCTTCCCTCCCCAAACCCCGTATCCGACTCTCCCCAGCCCAACCAGTTGGGGCATTTCGGGAACCTGCCGCAAGCCTCCAGGAATTTCAGGAGGCTCTGTCTCAACATGTGCGATTTGCCCTTTTTGATTTGTGGGCCGAGGTCTCAACTGGTTTTGTCTCAAAATGCTAGACCCCCAGCATATAAGTCGTTTGCTTGTGGTTTCCTTTCAATCAAGCCTCAATCCGCAAGCCAAACCGACAAACCCAAAACTCAACAAACAAACCTCAACAAACCCACCCATGTCCCTTTCTTAAAAACCTCAAAACACCAACAACTTCACCCCCCACCCCCCAAAAAACAATAAATAATAAATTTAAAAAAATGGTTATCTGTTGGCTTCCCTTCAAACTGGTAAGCAGGCTTCCCATTCACCCTCCACACAGGCAGGGGATCAAATCCAACTCCAAACCACCCATCCAAACCACCAAGTGGAGTTCAAAAAATGGAAAAAGAAAAAGAAAACAAAAAAAGAACTAGGTGGCGCTTCTCCCCCCCCCAAAAAAAAAAAAGGCGACACCGTCTTCGCGGCCTCGGCCTTGAAGCCCTTGAAGGCCTCCGACTGACGAGCTGACACCTCCTGGCTGGAACTCGCCTGCGTTTTTTTGGGGGGTACACTGACACGGGCACCGGACAGGGGGTCCCTTTAAGGGGCAACTGATCGTCCAGGGGCCCTCCAGATGCCATGTGTGGGAGGAAGTGTAATTACCCTCTTTTGGTCGGTTTCAAAGGGAAGGCGAAAGGAAACAACCATCTTTTGGGGTCCGATTCCCAAAGCAAGACACACCCAGCTTCGAATCACCGTTCTGCATTGAAGCTTTATTTGGGGTGCGAATTCCCCGATTTCCTGTCCCGCTTCGAGTCCCCTTGGATCCATTCAAGTGAGTTCATTTTGGAAGCACAGGAAATAGGAGTTGCAAACACCCGCCAACCAAGATGTCTGTCAGAAATCGGGATTCCAACCAAGGGAAGTGCGGGTGGTTTTCGAGTCGCCCTTTTTTGGGAAAGGAAAAACCTTTTGGGAACCCCATGTTCTGGTGGAGCATATTTCCACGTGCAGCACCAGTGGGGCTTGGGAAGTCTCTCCACCAATTCTCACAAAACTTCATGCACTGGCGCGAGCTGGACTTTGTTCAGGCAGATTCCAACCCATGTGTCTTGAGGGCAATCCTAATCCGGTGCTCCGAACATATTGTTCCCCCTCAAAGTGGCTTGCATCTTTTGCCCATTTGGACCTATGGGAAGCCATTCAGTGCCCGAGGTCGGTCTCCAGCAATCACGTTCTCAAAAAGCACTTGGAACGGAACCTACCAGGTAGTGCCCTTTTACCCGGTTCTCAGGGTGTCTCCCCCCCGAGATACAGCTCAGTTTGGAGTGGTTTGGAGATTGCCTGGTCATGTCCTGAGAAGCTCAAAATCACAAACCACCCATCCAAACCTAAAGCACCGATTCATAAATTGAGGGACTGACAAGGACGATTTTGATTGCATTTTTGAACAAGAACACCCTACCAGAGAAGGCAAGCTCTCGGATCTTCCTGCTGTGGTTTTGCTGGGTTACTTGCCCGACCGATTACTGGAATAAGCCATCCATCAAGGGGCTGTGCATCCCAATTGGGGCTCCAATTGCCATGGCACCGAAAGCTGTCAGAGAAGAAGGCATGTGCCCCCTTTGCACACAGAAGCCTGCACGAACTTGAGTGAAGACTTCCACCCGGGAACTCTGACATTCTGGGCATGCCAAACCTTGATTATAGTTAGACGCCCTGCAACAAGTTAACTTATTGCGGGCGGGAAGAGAAAATGATGGAGGCCAGCATGGAAAAAGGTGAAGAAAAGGCAAGTAAAGTCTGGCAATGAATCTGCCCAACCGATAGCGGCTCTCCTCAGACCTTCTGGACATGGCTGACAACGCGGTCTTGATCATGCCGCCCTCAGATCTGTAGATCCTCCTGGGTGCATCATGAATTTTCAGGGAGGCCTTTTTGGGTTGATTGCAAGAGAAACCAAAAGGAGGAACCCGCTCTCCTTTTGGGGAAGGGTGCTACCCTATGTTGCGGCAAACCCAGCACGAAAACAATGCGTCACTTTGGCCACAACTTCGGAACCTTCAGGGTGGCCCTCAAGTCGACCCTATTATTTTCAAAGCGCCCCACTAACTGACAAAGCTTCGGCGCAAGGATATCAGGCTTTGGTCCTACTGTGCCGATCATCCTTACCATGCAGGGTATGACCTTCTCAGAGCCACCCTCAAAAAGAAAAAACTCTCATTGACAGGAAGTCATTTGTTGGCATCACGGTAGGTTTGAACCCAGGACATTGGTTCCCCTTTCGGATGTACCAACCGCCTGGGTTAAGTTTAACCGGAAATCAACAGATGGAACGCTGGTAATGTTGGTCTCCAATGTTGCCAGACACAATTGCAGGGGGAAGCTCGACGGAAAATTCGGTAGCTTAGCGGAAGTGGCTCACAGACCCACATCAAGTGCCTGTCAGCGGGCCCCAAACCCTCCCTGAGAAAACGCACGCTCTAAAAATGACTCTCTGGCTTGCGCGAAGTCCTCTTGGCTTCCCTTACACCAAACTATGTCAGCTTTTGCTGCCAAAGTGACTGGCTAGATTCTAGTCCCTTTTTGGTCTGTTTTGCAGCGAAACCAGATTCCAAAAATAACAGATCCATGCTTTGATTTCACCTTCGTTTGGCCTCTCACAAAAAAAGAGCTGAGTGCGAAGTGACATCACCCGCTCAATGGTTTAAAGGGAAGTGGGAGACCCCTCACAGGCCAGCCAGAGACCCCGCAAGTCCCAGCGCTTCCGTCGCCAAAGGTGGTGTGGTAACCTGTTCTCTCCCCAAAGAAACCAAAAGAAATCGTACCAAGTTTCCACCCTTGTTTTTTGGTCGACTTTAAGGAATGGAATGGCCAAAGCAGCAATCCCTGAAATTCCTCGCATGTCCACTTAAGCTGCGCCCAAAACCTGTTGACTGTTAATGCTGCTCTTTTGATGCTGTTGGCTCAGGCGTCAGTGTATGAGCCTTGCTTACCCCAAGGTAAAGCCACTAGAACGGGCGTTTCTCAAACTAGGGGACACCTAGCAGAAATTCTTCGCATGACCCAAAAAACGCTCGGAAAGTTGTCCTTTTCGTTTCCCTTTAAATAGCCTCCCCCAAAAACGGGTTGGTCCGAGGGAGTGTAAAATGAGCCACAATCAAAGCCCGGTATTAATATAGTCTACCCAGAACCATGTAAAGAATTACGAAGGCGAATATCCGCAGCTATTTATGGCTGCGGGTTTTGAGCAAGTGGCTCAGATGGGTATGGGTCAAAAATGGAGTAACCCCCAAATGGAACCCAGGTAGGACTAAAACCTGCGGTCCGCTGGTGGTTCAATTTTGACCCATACCCAAATAGTGACGTGGGGGGGGTTCCCTCTTTGGGGCCCCCGGCGCCGCGTCCGCCACCCTTGCGTCCAGCTCCGTGTGGCCCTTCTCCACGCTCGCGCAGCGCTGCTCCAAAGCGTCCAGCGCGCTGGACACCCTGGCCACCCGAAACCGACAGGGTCACCCGAGGTGAACCCCGCATAAATCCCGGGCTAAAGATTGTGTTTGGACAACAAAAGGGGCACCGGATCAAAAAGAAACAAACAAGGATCAAAATAACTATTCCAGGTGGATCAAAAAAGCCAACACATGAAATATTGCCCCCAGATAAATGGGCGAAATGGTATGCTCTCAAGATGGATCCCCTCGTGTAACGTGGCTGTCCTTCCTGTTTCCCTCTGAAGCCAACTGAAAGGGGCAGCTGCAAGTAAATATGTTTGTGGCTCGTGTGGGAAGCATGGGTACCAGGGGTCGCGTTCAGACACATCAATGCGCGTGAGGTCACATCACAGCATCAGCGCCCGTGAAGTCACATCGTTTGCGCTTCCACGGCGCACATTCTGCCGCCAAGCTAGCCGTTTGCGTCCCGCGTCTCGGTAAAAGCAGGGTTTTCAGCTAACACCCAGCGAACATTTGATGACTTTCCGTGTGTTCACCCACCTGCCACGCCGGTATTCTGGTTATCAAGTTCTGAGTTCGCACGCCAGCTGAGGGAATGCAAATCGCATTGGCCACCCGCCTCCACAGCGTGCACTGCTTTGTCACACAACTAGTGCCATGGTTATGGGCCATGGTCATGGTACCGGGGAATCCTGATCATGGTTGGCCATATTTCCTGCTCGGGGTCCGTGCCATGCCTATCTCAAGTACAAGAATGTGGTACATATGGATTCGGCACGAATTCAGCGAGCTCCTAAAAGGATTGTTTCTTAGTATGTCCTTCCGGTTTCCCGTCAAAACCAACCAGACAAACAAACACACACTTACTTGCCCAAAGAACCCTGAAAGAAAACAGGGGAAACCAAAAGGTCAGATCCAGTCGATATGTTTGCAGAACCCTGGAAACGAATGCCCACGAAAGGATGGAGATGGCTCAGGGCCAAGTTTAGAGGACAATGAGGTGTGGCTCATTCTTTTCTTCGCTGGCCCCCTTTTGGAAATTTTCGTGGAAATTGAGAGGGAAGGAGGGGGGGGGCACCAACATGCGGCCGCTTTTTGGAAGCAAATCGATCGCAAAACGGAGGCACGGCGAAGGCTTAAGCAAGAGCCGAGATCCGGCATGAGCCGAGTTCCTTCAATACTACCCCTCCCAAAGAAGGCTCAACTCAAATGGGCCCAGCTGATGTTTGAAGCAACGCAAACTTGATTTGAGTTGTGGGGGGAGCCCTGAAGGACAGGGGAAGCGACATATTGGCATGTCATGTGGCAGCGCTTGCAAGAGCTTTGTGGATGCTGCCGCGTGACTCGAGACTGGCATTCAGCAACCTTCCTTTCTGTCACCCCGCTCCAGTGTGGCGATCAATGGGTTTGATCGCTCGACCTGCCTCTCAGATAGGCCTTGTAGCCGTGCCGATCCCTCCTCGTAATCATCAGAGCCACGTGCAATGCGGTTTATTCCCCGGACTGGCGGGCCCAATTTGGGTAGGCAGTGGGCCCCCAATGTCATCCCCGAGGTACCACCAGACTCCAAATCAGCATGCCGGGCGCTCAACAGGCACCACAGTCCGCAACATCGCCAGCTGTCCTGGCCCTCGTTGGAAACTTCATCGCGCAGCCGCAGATGTCTTGCCTAGTGACAATGCCATGGCTGTCACGACTCAAATCCAGTGCTTCCTTTGCATCACACTGTGGCAACCTTTCCACAGGGCAAAGTAGTGGTACCCTACAGAAGTGGGAGAACTCTCCTCAGAGCCCTGGATGTAGCACCCGATTGTTTTCTACCACGCGGCCAGCCCTTTCCCCGGTGTCCGCTTGCTCCGGGCGCCCCGGCAAAGAGCTCCTTCCGCTCGACTCCCAGTCGCTCCTCGAGCGCCTCAGCGAGGAAAGATCAAAAAAATATGCACGCATCACGAAATGAGAAATCCCCGAGGTGCCGGTGCCTTTTGGCCTGCTGCATATACATATATATATATATATATATATATGTATAAATATATATATATATATATATTATATATATATATGTATAGTGAGAGAGGGAGAGAGAGGTTGATACGTGTACGTATGTGTGTGTATATATATACATATATATATATATATGTGCTATGTATGTACGTCGTATATGCATATATGGTAGAGGTCAGCAACCCCCCCCCCCAACCCAGCGCCATGGTCGTGGTTCAGAAGCGTCTGCCGCTCCCCTCGTTTGGTTTACACTTGGCTTCGGTTGGTTTAGGGTTGATTTGGGGATGGTTCGGGAGCGGGGTGCGAGTTCAGCTCGAGGTGGGGCTCTGGGCACAGAAGCAGCGGGCTATTGCCGCAGAAAATTGGCCCGTCCACTCCGTCCTCCACGCGCTGGCCGATGGACTGGGTCATCAAGGCACGGGAGAATCCCAAGGCCTGCGCACCGGGCACCCAAACTTCGCGGATTTCCTGTTGGTTTCCCTTTAATTGCCACCCCAAGAATGGTACCCTCAAAAAACAACATACCCACCTGGTAATTGAGATGTCGCAGGTGTAAGCTTGGGCTTGCATCACCATGCAGAACAAAGTCCGATTGATGCAGGGAAAGGAAAAAGAAGCAAGATGCCCCGATCTATCATGCAGGACGTTGTCCCATAATGATCTAAAATCAGGATGAAACAGAATTAGGCAGACCCGGTCCTGATTCAGAGCCTCTAGTCGTGAACCGTGCTCTTGTTGCGCCTCACACACTCGCTCACAGCACGAATTCGTCTCACTCGGAAGAAATCGAAACGCAGCGGTCTCAGTGCAGCACTGCAGCGCGTGCGGCGCTCTCCCCTGAGTCCAGACCCCTCGAACCCTCCGCTCTCCCCAGTGCCCTTCGATGAAAACCATTGGAAGGGCAACCCCTCGGTTGGTCTGCTTTGGGTCCAATCAAAGCACGCCCCAGATTGCAAAGGGAGCCATAGGCGGGTTTTTGGCCCCAAATGGTATCTGAGGAGGAGGAAAAGTCACGAATCGTCCCTGAGTCCCCTCTGGTGCTGCTTTAAATAGTGAAAGGAGGAGGTCTTCTATTTGAGCTTGTCCCACAGAGGGACCCTCAAAATTGGCTTCCCTTGAATTCTCATTTAACCTGCTTCTGAGGGAAGAACTCGGGTTTTGGAAAGGAACCTGTGGATCCCCAAGAAACTACTGGACGGTGGGCTCATTCCACTTCTCATTCCGTGATTGTTCAACCCTGCAGAAACTACTGGACGATGGGGTCATGCCACGTCCCATTCCCTAAGAACCAACTAGGGGACGGCTCAGGGCAATGCATTTGGCCATGGGCCAAAATCCCGAAGCCCCAGTGAACATCCCAATCCCCACCTAACATAGGTTCTAAAATGGGTGGTGAATTCACCTACCAACCAAAATGGGATCCCGAAACGGTTTTGACAACCACAGCCATTTCTCATCGGCCCCTTCCAGTAGTGATATTCCAGTAGTGATAGATTCCCTTGAAAATCCACAGAGGAAAAGAAAAGATCTTCTTCACCAAATGGAAGTTTCTCCTTCCCGGACCAACCCCCAAAACGGGTTACCCGCCCATCGGCCCCCGACGGCTCGGAGCTCGGAGCCTTCCAGCCGCGCGTGCAGCTCCGAGAGCGCCGCGCCGGCCTGGATCGAGCCTGGAGTTTGTGCGGCCAAAGGAAAGAGAGAAAGGTGAAGAGAGATAGAACAAGGAAAGAATCAGAAAAAGAGAAAGAGAAATAGAGAGAGAGAGAGAAGAAAAAAAGAGAAAGAGACCCACCTTGCTGCAGCTTGTCCATGTGTTGCTGCAGGAACTCCACCGACTGGCAAGTCACGCCAAGTCCAAGCAAAATGCTCAAAACACAGACTTACGATGAGCTTCAACCAGGGCTGCGTGCCGAAGCTTGCAGCACATCTGAGAGGCATACCCTTCACATACCCACTACCAAATTATGTAGGCATTGTATACGTGCGGTCAACACTCCGTTATTTCATGTTTTGAAAGAAACCTTTACGTTGGTTATCAAAGTCCCCACTTAGAGGTTGATGACCATCCCAACCCCAATGGTAAGGCGTCTTTTGACCATGGCACATAGTTGCCCCCTTTTGGGATGGCTCAAGCATCACCCTTCGGTTGCCATGTTTTACCACTTTCCTTCTGGTGGGGTGATGTTGGGACTAACATCGGCCTGTTTATCTGTTGGCAAGGGGGTAAGGAAAGGGACTATTTGAGACTCTTCATAAATAAACGAAAAGCTATTTGAGGCTCTGAATGAATAAACGAGACTATTTGCAAATGAACGAGCAACTGTGTGATACTATGTGACAATAAAAGACAGACTGTTTCTACATGAAAGAGAAGCTATGATAGGAGAGAAGCTATGTAAGACTCTTAATAAATAACAAGGACGCGTTGTGAGACTATTCATAAATCCAGGGGAAACTAGATGAAACTATTCTTCGTAAATCCAAGAGAGCTGCTGTGAGGCTTCTAATAACAAACATAGAGATCTGGACCCCGCAATAAACTTCCACGAGGGGGGATTAACAGACCCTTCAAAAAACAAACAATCCTACGGTTGTCAAGGGCTCCCTCCCCCAGTGGCAACCCCAAACTGGTTGAGACTGGTTGAGACTGGTTGCTTCTGCCCCAGAAAAATATGTCGCAGCACCTGCAAAGGGGGGCCCTTGGTTCCCTTCGATTCATGCATAAAATGGGAATAAATAGAGGTTGTCACAACTGACGTCTAAGTACGGGGGAAAATAATGAGAACCCAGTTGACTAAAAGATTCCTAGTTGATTGGGATCGGGGGATGCAACCCATTTAGACGGAACCCGGATCACCTGGCGGGAAACCGCCAACAAATGTGTTTCATGAGCACATGGAGCAAGCCCCGCCCCCTCATCTGCGAGGTTGATTAATCCGGGGTCAGCATGAGTTGGGCTCCCCATGTTTCCCCTTTAAACATCACTCCGAAGAGAAACTCACCTGAGAAAAGGGCTCCGAAAAGGTGATGTTTAAAGCCATCGTTCGGGTTTTATAGGGACCACTGTTCAATTTGTGGACCCTGTCCGAACGGCATGGTTTGGCGTGGGGGAACGAGCACGGGAACCGCGCAGAAAGCAACTAGTTTCTCTCAAACCAGGCAGCCAAAAATCCTGGTTCTGTTCTGTGTGTTTGGCCAACTTCCTGTAGAAATTGAGCTGGTGTCCGCGGTTGTTGGGTTCAAAGCGCACGCCACAAGGTCCGGCGGAAAAACTGGCTTCGCCTGCGCCAGGTAGCCACCATCCACCCCGCCGGTGCCGCCGTCGCTGGAGCGCATGGGGATCTCCAGGGCAGTCAAACGCACCCGCAGCTCGCCCTGGCAAACGACCCTCAATTGAATTTTGGCTCTTGCTGTTCTGTCCGGTTTCATGGACGGCGTCTCCCCTTCTTTTTTGAGTGTACACTTGTTGGGGGTCATTTTCCTTCCAAAGGGACCTGTCAGGATCCATGTGAAAAAAGGTGACAGGGTACTTGCCGTGTGGTTTTTTCGGCTATCCCCCAAGCAAGCTGCAGGACTCCAGAGTTTGCGGCTTGGATTGGTGGGTTTGAACCCCTGGCTGTTCAAAGTTAAGGTCGGAAAATCGGAAGAGAAAAAAAATGACAAAGGGTGGACCCCGGGAGAAGCCATGGATGGCTTCCCTTCGGTGCCGCTGTCAGACTCGGCATGGGACTCCTGCTTTTGGGAGTATTTGTATACCTTGTTTGGGGTTGCTTAGCGAGCCGCAGGCCACGCGCGTGTTGACCCATTGAGATACCCGGAAAAAGAACCATTCGCCGCCAACACGGCATGAAAAACCACCAACATGGGTATGCCAACAATCTGCAGGGGCATGCCTGAGACGGAGCGCCTCCTTGAATTCACAAACACCAAGGACATGCTTGGTACTCCCCTGTAGAACGAACATGGAACCGCTGGTGGCTGCTTGCCGGATGGCTTTTGTTGCTTGTTTCCTGCCAACAATCTGCGGGAGTGGGGATCCCGATCGTTTGGGAACTGAGCCAGATTCTCAGAAAAATGGGTCGCACCCCCGATCCACATCAACCAGGGCTCCTGTTTGATCCAGGGTTCCCATCACCAACCATCCGACGCAAAATCTGCAGAGTATGGATCCTAAGCGACCAACACTACCGGATAGCCAAGTTGTCTTTTCCCCTAAGAACAGTCACCGTGGCTGGGCAAAAGCACTGAGACTTTCCGAGTTCTGAAGCCCAAGGGCGCCCCAGGACCCAAGTGCCCCAGCCAGCGCCGACCGGTGCCTGGGTGGCAAGCAGCTTCTCCCGCAGATCCTTGCAGGCACAGAAAAGCCGCCGCCATACGAGGCTCGTAGAAGCGAGAACGGCGCCAAAAGGGTACAAGTAGGCGGGTTAAGTCGACCCAGTTCTCAAGAAGTTGACCCACTGCATTAAGTCGACTTGACACAAGTAGTAAAATCGGCCTCCCTCGATTTCATGGTTTGGATTCGTGGTTTGGAGGTTGATGGGGTGGTGTCTCGTTGTCCCTCTGGCTTCAAACACCCAAGCCACCAATCCAAACCGGAATCTCTTCAAAACACCCAAAGGGAGGCTGCTCTCTAAAATGAAAACACAGCATGTCCAAACCAGGGCAAGGAAGCTCATATTGAAAGCCCAATGGTGCGCAAACCCGGGACATTGATCCTCGAAAAGGGGCAAACAGGCTTCCTGAAGGAAATCCCGAGTCGGATGATTCTATTTGGGGAGAAGGGTGTACATGGCCCCCACTCTGATGCCTTTACTGGGAGTAGAACCCTGTAGTGAATTGGCCAACAGAAATCGTTGTGGGCACATGGAGATTTCCACCAAACAACCCATTAACTGTTTACACGGCTATAAGCCGTCAAGCCAATGGAATCCGCCTCCACTGAACCGCTCAGCATCTCCAGCTCCGCTTGCACCTGGGCCTCAGGATTCAGCGCACGGCGTCTGACTCTGTTGCTTGATAACAATATCCGTGTGTTTCTGATTATTCAGACAATAAAATGTGTGATTTGCGGGGTGCTATTCCAAGCAAAACAAAAAACACTCAACTCCCAATGGCAGTGTTAGAAAAGAAACAAAACTATTCCAGGAACAAGGACACGTAGACTTCCACACGTTCTCGCCCGCCTTCGGAACGCAGGGATCAATCAGGAAACCACACGAGGAAATTTGCTTTTAAGGAAAAGAACGATGTCTGAAAAGAACCTGCGCTGAAAAGTTCCACTAAGCACTGCCTTGCCTCCGGCGACCCCCGCTGCCAAAATGGAAAAAAGTGATCGAAGTCGGGTGGAGCAGCGAGAAGTCGCGCGAGCGACATGGCCCGCACACGATTCGCGCCAGTGGTCGGGCTTATCCCAGAAGCGCAAAAAAGCAACGGCTGTGGATCTTATCCATTTAAAGTTTGAGAACAAGTCGAAGACAACGCATCCCCGGTTCCTTTCATCATTCGCTTTACCTGATAAAACTGCTCAGCACTGCTGAACTTCTCTGGCACACAAAGAAAAGTCTGCGCGGGCAGGCTATATAGGAAAGCCCACTCAGAGGCGGACAAAAGCGCCCACCTTTTTCCCGGACGGTCTGACAGGAGTGCTCCCAAAACATAGTGGGGGCTGGGCCTCACATCGGACCCCGTTGGGTCCGTGAAAAGCACATGGCTAACCACCGCAAGCCACCAGAAGCCATGCGGTGACAGAAAGTGCTTCCAATAAAACTCCAACAAATGGGACTCTCTTTTTTTGCGGCATCCCCAGCATCCCCGGCTCCCACGCAAATTCCAAAAACATAAACGCATTTTATCCCGCGACATCTCCAGCATCCCCGACACACCTTATGCGCCCAAGTCCGGCCAGGCCGGGACTGGAAAGTAAACTGATGTAAAATTGGCATGATTTTTGGCCCGCGAGGGCCCCAGCCGAAAAGGCCACACACGATGGGCAGCGTCAGTAAAAAAGGTGGACAAACGTAGGGAAAACGCCAAACCAGCCTTGCGGTGGCAGTAAGTGCTCGAAGCAAAACGGCTGACCGGACCTGCAAATCCTCCGGGACGAGGTTACCCCCAGCGCTTCAAGAAGCGCTTTCCGTCACCTTGACCAATACCAAAACATCATCGTATATGCCTTGACCATCGCCAAGCTTCATGCTAAAACAACTAATTTGCCCTGAGCGAAAACTCTTCTACACAAGCACTGCTACAAGCGTGAGCTGCCTGGACGAAAGCGCTTTGAAGCGCTTTGGGTGCTCTACACTGGATTCAAGATTCAAGATCTAGAGTCCGGAAATCTTGAACCTTTAATACTAGATTCAGAAGTGCTATAAAGCTTTTTTGGGCGGAAACAGTCAGATGGGCAAATGCTGGCACAGTTGTGGGTACCTGAAAAGGGGGAGGAAATCACCCGAAACTACGGTAAATACTTTTTGGGTGTGGTTTTCTGTCGTCTTTTTTCCGGGGGGAGGGGAGGGTATACCATTTTATGTATATGTACATATTGCAGGGAACCCTGTTTCCGAGGCACGGCTTGCCAAGTGGCATCTTTCTGCCTCATCGCCTGTCGCCACTCCTGGGCAAGGGATCCGAAGGTGGAATGCTTCCTTCCAAACGCCAAATACAGCTTGACTTTTCCTCGCCAACACATGTGGGCATGTGTTTTCTTTTACTGGGGGATTCATTCGTGGAAATCATTTAGGTGCGGATGCATGACCAGCCACTTGTGAGGTGGTTGCAACTCGTAAAAATCGCAGACATGTGTTTGGCGCCCAACTCAGGTTACTTCAGGTCAGTGTTATCGGGAATTGTAGCTGTGATGGCCTCATGGACCTGATCGATGGAGGTGTCACGCATTTCATAACCCGCCAAAAAAGATATCTCCCCGGACAAAAAAAGTGCGACCCGAAACCCCTCGAACCCAGTAGAAACACTGTTTTTGCGAGAAAAAAAAAACTGAAGACACACACACAAAGCCCCCTGGCCCCCGGCGCTCAGCACCCACGCCTCCGCGGAGTTCCGCTGGTGTGCCAGGACCTGCGCCACCTGCGGGCTCCGCAGCTCCGGTTTCACTGCTTGACGGTTCGAGTTTGTGGCGGCCCTCTTCCGTCCACCTGTTGGAAGGAGGGTAAGATGCAATTCAGAATGGTTTGCGCCTTTTCATTCCGACTAAGCCAGTTTCCGGCTCTTGGGCGCGGCTCAAATGCCAGATTCTACCTGAAATGTCCCAGCTGGACAAGATCTGCAGTCGGCATTGATCAAACCCATCTTTTGTTTGCTACAACACCTGGTGCAGAACTTTGTGGGTAGCCACGGTCAATACTCGTGCTCTTACCCCATCGGGTCCCCTGAAACGGAAGACTCATTTCTTCGGCCAACCTTCAGCCCCGGAGAAGCCAAGCCATCACGACATCCAAGATGAGTCACGTACCTAAAGTGAACATTCCTTCAACCTCACTTCCGGATTTCCCAGCTTCCCTCCAATTCGTAATTTTGATTGGTGGTGAGGTCGCCCCTTGACCCATCCTCAAAGCCGTCCTTCCCTCACCGCTGCAACCGCCCGCTCCGGCGAAAACGAGACCGGCCTGGCCCTCCACCTCCGCGTGCCCGGCCAGCTGCCGCAGGCTGCGACCGCTGAAGTCCCGGAGCTCTGCCTGTCGCTTCGGCGGAGGCGGTGGAGGCGGTGGAGGCGGTGGAGGCGGTGGAGGCGGTGGAGGCGGTGGAGGCGGTGGAGGCGGTGGAGGCGGTGGAGGCGGTGGAGGCGGTGGAGGCGGTGGAGGCGGTGGAGGCGGTGGAGGCGGTGGAGGCGGTGGAGGCGGTGGAGGCGGTCGCCCCTTGAAAAAGGAACACGACGTGGCGGGCACTTACAAGGGAAACCAAAGGCAAAGGCAACCAAAGGTAAACCGAAGCCTCCATGGTGCGGTTCGTCGGCTTCGACAAAATACACAAACGATGGCTTCGGTGTCCCATGCTTGTCCCTTTCTGCGAAAACATTTGTATCTTGAAAGGGACCTTTAGGCTTGTCTGCAATGGGGGAACCTTGTTTTCCTTGGTTTCCACTATGGTTTCCAGCAGGGTTGTTATTCAGCGATAGCTGTGTTTCTTCTCTTGGGGATAGCGAAAATGGTGCTTTCCTTTTCACTGTCCCTTGAAATTAGCCCCATATGAGCCGCGGTCAAGTGTTTGCCCTTGGTCTTCCGAAAGGACCAAGGGAAAATCAGGGCTCGCCCCCTTAAATTTGCTTCAGATTGGTGTTGCTTTGCAAAGAGTGTTCGTTCGCTTCAAACAAGATGTCTTCTCTTCAGACCGAAGCAGAGATCGGCGAGCTGGTCTAAAGCCGAAAGGGCCGTCTACCGGGCATCCAGCGAGGATGAGGCGGTGATCGGATGCAGTCAAGGCATGCATTTTCCGTGGCAGCCAATCGACCCCACAGTGGCAAGTCCCACCTGGTGGCAAAATGCTGACCTTGCTTGCGCCTCAGTGGCACGTTCCTGGACGGGCTCGGTTGCCAAATTTGTGAGAAGCTGCAGCCGCTGGTTCCTGGTCCAATTTCGTTCAAGCGAATTCTGTACAGCAAGGTTGAATCGCCCCTTTAGCTGCAGCAAAAGGAGGCTGTGTAACAGCAGGCGTGTCAACCCTGGGTTGAAGCAAGACTTCGTGTGCCAAGAATTGCATTTTTAGCAAGGCATGAACGCTAGGCTCCAAACATTCCAAGCACCTGGGGAATCGCATTGCATCGAACATCTCCGCTGCCTGCAGAGCCATGACCTGCTCCCTCAGCATCGCCTCCTGCGGGGCGGGCAGCTTGAAGAGCTTACCATCGCCCGTTTGATGGTATCCTAAAAGTGATTTGCAAACCTCTCAAATTACAACAATTCAGAACGATATTTCTAATCTACCCTTCAAAATGCAACCACCACTTGAAGTTGTAGAGATGGCGCGAATCCCCCCCATGTCCCGAATCCCGGGACGTCTCCTGCAGCTGCGACCTCAGATGTGAACGAAAAATGGTTGCTTCGGTCTGCCAGCGGCTTCCCTTCTAACCCAAAACAGGTGCTTCAAAAGCGGCCCCTTTTGGGAAGCCAAATGGGTTTGCTTTCTAGCAATAGCGACAGAAAATGGTAAAACAGGGTGGCCCAACCCTGGCTAGCACCGCTTTTGGGATGACCCCCTTGCCAACTCCAACAAGGAGCACGCCCAGTCCACGCCAAAAGCACGCTCTCACCCCTCGCGACATCCGCCTTGCACCCTTGGAGCACTTTGCAGCAGTCGGTGGTCTGAATGCCGCTAAAGTCGACAGCAGCTTAAACACAGTTTGTGGGTCTCGATTTGAATTGGGACACTCTGTTAGACATCTTTCTCCGTAGTTGGATTCACGTCCACCAGGATTGGTTGCAAAATGCGTCTAAACAAATATACCGTCCAGCTATCTTGGGGGAACCCTTTAAGGAGGATGATTAAACATAGCTGTTTAAGGGGGCTGACTAAGGGCAACAATCAAAACGTTCAGTTCGCCATCCAGCCATCTGGGCGGTCAAAATCACGTTTTTCCCCAAATGGATATGGAAAAAGTCGTGAGCCCCCTGCTTTTTTTGTGGAAAATTGAATGGGTGCCGCCCCACAAGGGTTTTTTGTGGGAAGTTGTGCGAGCCGTCAATTTTGACATCTAAGTCCTGGACTGCTGAGACTGCGTCTCCAGCATCTTCAGCCGATGCGACTCCACCATGTTTTGCTCTTCAAAAACCTGCACTGGCAAAATTCGGAAATGCAGAATTTGCCAGGCCAGGAAAGCTCGCAACGTGTTCCTTGTGGGGGTTCCTTTACAGGGTCTGGTTAAATGCGCCATGTCAACCCCCTCAGGAACCCGAATGGTTCCCTAAAATCCCGAAGTCGTCCAACGTGTTTATAGACATCGAACATCTCCTTCTCCCCCATGAAACCTGGTAGGAACCGAATCACCTGCTAAGAATTGCCAGTGGAAGCCAGGCAGTGGAATCCTCAAACGAACCATTCACTGGGAGCTTTAGGTGCTGCTCAGTGGACTTATGCGGCAAAACACACATCCCACCGGCCTTGCGCAGGAGCTGAACATCGTCCTCAAGCTTCCTGACCGCCTGATTTGGGAAACAAGAATCACATGTCATGCGCAAGACTCCTATATTTTCCTTTGTTCGCCGCTTGCTAAGTAGAACCTTGTAAAACCAGCTAGTAGAACCGCCTGCTGAAAGGGAAGCCACGTTTTTGCTTTTCTTTTCTTTTTTGGGAGGGGGGGGGTGTTTCTTGTTGCGCTTTCCCTTGCTTTTCAGAAATCCGTGCTGCCTCGTTTTCGACCTATGCAGCTGCTACCACACGCAAACCCGACTTCCCGTTTGGTGCATAGCTTATACCGGAGCCCACCTCCCTTCCTCTCAGACCCTCCCGGAGAAACGCCTTCAACTGCAAAATGGTGTAAAGAAATGAGTCCATTGGACCCTGGTGTCACCTTGAAACCTTGAAAGTGAATCCCAAAGGGGGGGGGCCTCCCCTCCCCGCCCAAAAAAACACAATAAAACAAAATGCAGAACTTAAGCCCAATAACCGCGCCAAAGACGCAGCATCCAAATCACTCTCATCCATGTGTTGCGCCTCAAGCTTCATGCCTCCTGGACCGGGTAGAAGGACAACAAAATGAACTTGCAACTTACCGAGCGCTGGATTCCGCTCATGCCGAAGGTTCTGAGATTCAAGCCAGGTGAAGTATGCGTTTCTTGATGGTGATTGCTTTGGGAGAGAAACCCTATGGGATCCAAACCCCATTTTGCTATGACGTTCAATCGGAATTAGAGAGGAGAGAGAGGAGAAAGAGAGCGAGAGAGCAAGAGAGAGAGAGAGAGAGAGAGAGAGAGAGAGAGAGAGAGAGAGAGAGAGAGAGAGAGAGAGTATGTGTCCCCCATGACCACAAACCCCAAATGGACCATAGACAAGTCAAGATCTGTCGACAAAACCTCAGGTAGAGCCCTCGCAAAGCTGCAAGCCTGCGAGTCTCGGCCCTCCAAGCGCCGCTCCAACGCATCGATCCGAGCCTGGCAGCACCCGAATCACACCTCCATATTTATTTTGTCTTCTCATGGCGCGGGGAGGGTGTTTGGGGGTGGTGTCCCTGTGGGGTGCGCGACAACAGCGGAAAGCTTTGGCATGCCGTTCCGAGCTCCGCGCTGAAATTTCAGAAGGGTTCCGGAAGGGTTTCTGTTGGGGATATCACCTGTTTTTGTTGTCTTGTTGCGTGGCACGGTGGCAAACTCTGTGCAGCGGGTTGCTCAAAACGGGGAGCCCGGATCCCAACTGTCCAATTGTCCGCAACAGTTGGTGGGACTATGAATGGGCTCAAAATTGGGAATCCGCCTAGCACCATGATTAAGGATTGAATCTAAACAACCCAGAAGTTGATGAATGGGCTTGCCTTGCATGAGTTTGAATGTTGTTTGCCTTTGTCCAGGGAAATGGGCCACAAATTCCAAAGGGATGGCATTTGGTGCACGTTGCCATTTGAACATGGGGGCTCATCAATTCCCATAGGGGCCACAATCTCAAAATGGGGGTGAAGAAATGCAAAATTGCAAAACGGGTGGTTTTCTGTTGGTTTTCCGCCCAACATCAAAACGGATGCCACCAAAAAGCACCATTGACATGGCCCCCATCAACATATCTCCCTTCCCGTCAGCAACCGCCGCGTGCCAGCAACCACGACAGCACCTGAAGCACACTTGGAACAGATCAAACAGCGGTGACCAGCACCAGCAAGAAACACCCTGAGTGGCATCTAATACAGCATCCTAACCAGCAGCCTGCGGAGCCTAATACAGCATCCTGACCAGCAACTTGAAAAGCACCACAAACACCCCACCCTGACCAGGGCACCAAACAAGCACAGCTGGTAAACACCCCAAAACAGCACCCTGACCAGCATCCTGACCTGACCAGCATCCTGATCAGCACCACCCTAACTGCAGTGCCACTGCTAGCAACCACCACCACAAGCAGCACCTTAGGCGCACAAACAGCACCCTGACCAGCACCCAAAACAGCACCCTGACCAGCACCCAGCGCCAAACAGACACTGCTAGTAACCATCGCCACAGCACGTTATGCACACAAACGACACCCCGACCAGCACCCAAAAAGGCACCCTTATTAACCTCCACCACAGCACCTGAAGAACACAAACAGCACTCTGACAGCACCATGACTGCAGCGCCAAACAAAACAGCAGCCTGACCATCACCTGCAGCAACCACCTTTCCCGAATTCGACCGTGAGAACCCCCACAGCTAAGCTATCTGCGGGAAAAACTGTCTTTGCTCATGTGTCTTAAAAAGGGGACTCCCAAACAGGTTGTCGTTGAAAACCACATCGGTGCCCTCAAAAAAGACACACTCACATACTCTTTGGAAGGCCCCATCCCATCAGCCCCATCATCCCAAAACTGGAGTCAACGTTGGCTTCGAGCGCTGGAGCGTGCCGGGAAGGCCATTGGTCTATTCTCCACATCCATCTGCACCTCGAGTCGATTGGTCTGCCAGGATGGGCATCATTTCGGTGGGGGTTCATGTCCGCCAACCACTTTTGAGGGTGGTTCCATTAAAATTCATAGCCTGTAGGCAGCCCTGTCGAAACTCTGCACACGAAGCGCGAAGTTGATTGAACTCATGAGCCACCGGCCGCATGTTTGGGCGACATGGTGAGGTCACCTGCACCCCTCACGTCTGACACACCCCGAAACTGCCATAGACGCACGCATGTCTGAAAATAGTGGGGCCCTGAATGTTGGGTTTCTTCTTGGGCACCAAACAAACGGTTCACGGCGCCAAACAATTACTCATAGTTTACCACTACCCAATCCGCAAACTCCAGTCTTGTTTCGGCCCATGTACCCCGGAACAAAAAACCTGATAGAAGCCACGAACCCGAATGCAAAAGATGGCCTTGGGAATGCGCATTTCGTCAACGCGAGCAATGTTGTCCAGCTGGAGACATGTTTTGAGCGACGTTTTGAGCTTGTGACCGACCGTTCAACCGACACCTCTAAACATGTTTCAACGCAACACTCGTAAGCGGCTTTTGTCACTGACACTTTTGAGAGACGCTTCTGAGCAAGAGCTTGAGCAACGGCGACACTTCTGAACACACTTACAAGCGGTATTTCGAATTACGCTCCTAAGCGACACCTCTGATTGACACATGTAAGCGTCAAGCGCCAATCCTGAAACCATAATTCTGAGCGACAAACTACGGCAAACTGAGCGACACCTCTACACACAGACACAAGCGACACTTCTGAGCAACACTTCAAGTGACACTTTTGCACTTTACACACAAACATACACGAAAGCGACGCTTCTGAGCGACACTCCTGAGCGACAGTTCGGGCAACATTGCTATCTGAGCGACACTTTTGAGCGACACTCTTGAGCAACATTTGTGAGCCACATGCACTTCTACACGCACATCAGCGACACTCCTGGGCGACACTCCTAAGCGACGATTCGAGCGACACTTCTACACACACATATCTGAGCGACACCTCTGAGCAACACTTCTGAGTGACGCTGCTGAGCGACACTGCTGAGCAACACCTCTGACCGACACTTCTGAGCAACACTTCTGGGCAACACTTCGATCCGAGCAACGCTTCTGGTCGACACTTCTGAGCAACACTTTGACCGACATTTCTGAGCAACACTTCATGAGCGACACGAGCGACAATTCTGATGAAAACTTCTGATCGACGCTTCTGCTCGAGACATCTGAGCAACCCTTCTATCTGACATTTCTGAGCCACACTTCTTGGCGATGCGACACTTCTGAGCAAGACTTCTGAACAACACTTCTGATCGATACTGCTGATCGACACTTCAGATTAACACTTCTGAGCGACGCGACACTTCTAAGCAACACTTCTGAGCAACATTGCTGACCGACACTTCTGCACAATTCTGGTCGACACTTCTGATCAACACTTCTGAGAAATGCAGCTTGTCACGTCTCTTGCCACGTCTCTTGTGTTAATGAACACTACTGAACGACACTTCTGATCGAAACTTGCGATCGACACTTCTGATCGACACTTCTGAACAACACTTCAGATTGATACTTCTGATCGTCTCTCTGTCTCTCTCTCTCTTCACTCTCTTCACTCTCTCTCTCTCTCTCTCTCTCTCTCGCTCTCTCTCCCATACTTCTATAATCGACACTTCTGAGCAACACATCTGGCCGACACTTCTGAGCAATACTTCTGATGGACACTTCTGATCGACACTTCTGAACGACACTTCTGATGGACACTTCTGATCGAGACTTCTAATCGACACTTCTGAACGACACTTCTGAACGGCACTTCTGAACGACACTTCTGATCGACACTTATCAACGACACTTCTAATCGACACTTCTGAACAACACTTCCAATGGACACTCCTGATCGACACTTCTAAACAACACTTCTGTCTCCAAATGAGCACCGCGCCACAGCGAGAGCGATTCGACCCACCCAAAGCGCGCAGAGGGTTCGCTTCGCGTTCTCAAAATTCGCACCGCACCACAGCGAGAGCGATTCGACCCACCCAAAGTGCGCAGAGGGTTCACTTCGCGTTCTCAAAATGTGCACCGCGCAACAGCGAGAGCGATTCGACCCACCCAAAGTGCGCAGAAGGCTCACGTTGTATTTTCAAAATGTGCACCGCGCCACAGCGAGCGATGCGACCCACCCAAAGTGCGCAGAGGGTTCACTTTGCATTTTCAAAATATGCGCCGCGCCACAGCGAGAGCAATTCGACCCACCCAAAGTGCGCAGAGGGTTCACTTTGCACTCACTTTGCATGTGCAAAATGTGCACCGCGCCACAGCGAGAGCGATAGGACCCACCCAAAGTGCGCAAAGGGTTCGCTTTGCATTTTCAACAAATGCACCACGCCACAGCGAGAGCAAGTCGACCCACCCAAAGTGCTGCGCCTGCCACGACATCGGCGCGCAAGCTCGAAAGTGCTGCGCCTGCCACGAAATCTGCACGAAAAGCTCTCAAGCGCTGCGCCTGCCACGAAATCTGCACAAAAAGCTCTAAAGTGCTGCGCCTGTCACTAAAAATCACGCTGCAGCGACATGCAAAGCGCTCAAAATGCTGCGCCTGCCACGCACTGCGCGCGGAAAACTAGCGCGGGACTGTAGCGCCAGAATGATTTCGACCGATTTCTTGCAAATCTGCAGTCGTGAAAACGAGCCGATTGTACGACAGGGCCAACGAAAACGGCGCCGGCGCAAACACTATCACGCGCCTGCCAAGCAGGACACCTCAAACAACCACCCCTGGATCGCAAATCCCACTTAGAACACGCAGCCTTCCAAAACACTGCGCCTGCACAACAAAATAACACGCAACGCTGCAACAGACACGATTCACGCACGGGCACAACGAATTCAGCGCTCCAAGACTCATCGAAAAGTCACTTTTTGCGACAATCCCAATGGCACGGCAACTTTTTCCACATGCGAACGCTCGCGAACGCTTTCGAACGCTTTCGAACGCTTGCGGACGCTTTCGGCCACACGCGAGCTGACCAGCGAACACAACCTTACCCCCAGACCCCACTTAATAACGGGAACCCTTCGCTACGCATTCGGGAAAATAAGCTCATGTGATATCCGCAACAGCATGCGGTGCTCTTTCTAGTGCTCGCACCACCCCGCAGCCCTCGCAGAACCTCGTGGAACCTTGGTGGAAATTTCATGGAACCTTACCTCAGGGCCGCCCCGGACCACCCCGAAGCCTATCTGGGCTGAGACCCCCAAAGCTTCCAGCTGTTGAGGAAAGGAATGAAGCACAGACCAAACGAAGCGTAAGCTGGTGGCAGTCCTGCGGGCTCCTGAGCATCAGCAAAGCTATTTTTTTCTTGCGAAGACCGAGACGAACCCAACCCAAGCAGGCCTCTAAAAACTGGGAGCGGGGTGGAAAACCTGGATCCCCTTAGTCTCCAAATATCAAAGCGTGTCACAACTAGTACTGGGCTGTCGTCAAATTCCCACTAAATGGAAATCCCCACTAAACACTAAAACGCTAAAAAGCTAAGGGGATGGCTGGGAACCATCAAGAGTAGTGCTGTCTTGAGAACTTGTAGATGCTATTCTCTTGGCACCCCAGGCAAGGGTTGCTCTCAACCCTCATTGACCAGCGGCTGGAATGCTTGCCCGAACCTCATGTGAGCGGCCAAAGTGACTTGCTTCTTCCAAAGCACATGGGAAAATGAGTGAGTCTCCTCATTCAATGGGCCATACAGTTCTGGATTGTGTGCGGAACCTCGTGTGTGGGTGCGCTTCAGGAGTGGTCAAAGATCGCCAAGCTAGGTTGGAACTCCAAAAACAGGCTCCCTCAAACAAGGATCGAGCCAAAACGTGAAGGATCATATGAATCCACAAGGGGTTAAATCACCCTGGGTTCCCTTTCTAATTGGATCTTGGCAGCAAAAGGAGCCAATCCAGGAGAACCACCTGGGCCATGGCCTCCCTCAAAATGGCGAGAGAGACTCGCCACCGACGTCTTTTGGTGGCTGCCCCTTTTCAAGTTGGTTTAAAGGGGGAACCAAGGGAAAACTTGGGGGGGTTCCCTTTAGAGGCTTCGTGGGGGTCTAGGAAGTCCTTGGTGAAATCCAAAAAACTCTCAAAACTCTCCCCTCTTTTGTGGAAGTGGACAGGCTTCCCCAAAAGGAAGCTAGTCATCCAAAACCCTCCGATGAGCTTCCATGATTGGAGGCATGGTATGTGGGTTGTTGCTTTTTCAGATTCCCCAAAAAAGACGAGCCCCCCATTCTCAAATGTCACATCTCTCTGAGGTGCTCGCCAGCCACGGCAAGGGCTTCGGGAAGACCAAGGACTCGGGCGCCGGCGGCGCCCGAGGCATCGGCTCCTCATCCTACGCGGCGCTTGCGGCGCTTGCGATCGAGCGGGGGGGGGGGGGGCGGGGGGGCTGGGTGTTTGTTGAGGCGCGGTACCTGTTTTGGGGCAAAGGGAAACCAAAGGACAACTATTCATTTTGAGCCCACGCCCTTTTCGTTGGAGTGGGAAAGCCATGTCACCCGCAAAACACCCGAAGCCCAAAAGCGTCTTTGCAATTTGCTAGAAAAGACAAAAGGAAAAGAAAAAAAAAGCGATGTAGAAAAAAAAGGAGAAAAAAGGAAGAAAGGGAACCGCTGGAAGAAACAAACTCCTTTTGGAGGGACTGCCAAGGAAAAATGTCTTCCCAATAACTCAATTGGAAGGCAACCTTTGACACCAAACTCCCTGACCTTCTTGGCGCGACTTTGCCCGAGTTCTTCCCTCCTCCCCCCTCTTGCGCCTTGCCAAATACCAGGCCCCCGATCTGAGTCCTGAGAGCTCAGGACAGGGGGCCTTCTGGCCCCAAAGAAGCCTCCATTTTCCCTGGAGCAGTGCTTTGGTTGAGTTTCCATGTGAGACCAAGAGCGAAAACAGGAACCGGCCTGATTTTGCAGGTCCGGAAACATCCCCCCCAAAATCCGCCGCATGGACAATGTTCATAGTCAGCCAGTAATGTCCAAGTTGAAACCCAACCATGTGTGGTCCGAAAATCGGTTTAAACAACCAGGCCCAGTGGTTTGAGCGCCCTAGGCTCCTAACCCCAAAGTAAAAATCACCAAAAAAGGAAAGTATGGGCATGTATCCAACTTGGGGGACCCCAAAAGCAGGCTTGTTTCTTGGGCTTCCCTTCAAAACCCACCCCAAAAAGGTTCCAGATATTTTCCCGACGCCGTGGGATGTCCCTATAGGCTGTATAGCGCAGTTCTGGGTCCCTTTCAGCCAGTAGGACCTCAGTAGGAAGGCCTGCCCACGCCCGCTCGAGCCTGGCTTTGAGAGGCGCGAGCATCTGCTTGGCAGATGGGACCTGGAGCACCCAGCGGAACACCCATTCTTGGGTTGTTGTGGTGGTTTCCCCTGAAAAGCCAACCAACACGACAGGGGGCTTTTTCCCCTCCCCCCAAAAAAAAGGAAAAAACAAAACGAGGGTCCGCAGGAGTCAGCTTTTGAAAGGAAAAAACACTTGTTGGACGTGGTTCGAAGTGAAACCAAAAGGAAACCAACCACCAGGGATGTGACAGTTCCTTTTGGGGTTGTTCCCAGAACAAAGCCAAAGAGAAACGGCTATATTCGGAATTGGCTAAAAAAGCAGATGTGCTCGTCCACATCCCGTTTTGCATTCCCAGCAGGAATGGGATTTAGACAAGGTCCGTCTGCGAAGATCACATATTTATGTGGGGACTTGGGGGATTGCGAGTGGACAATCCCCCCCCAATGCATCTGCCAGACCAATGATCCCCCCCCCCTCCCTGGCCTCTCAGCTCCCTAAGGGCACACGGCCCACAAGCCAGCTGAGGCACGGCAAGAAATTGACTCAAAACAACAATGCCCTTCAGAGGGCCGGAATGCCCGCGTCCAGGTGAGTAACAATCAACCATTGGTATTAAAATGTTTTACCCAAATCCATGTAAGGAAATCGAAAGCTGGACAACACTAATTTATGAACCCCTGAGGGTTGGGCAAGCAAAGGCTTGGCGACAACCCCTACACCAAGTGACCAATTCAAATCGGGCGATTCAAGCGAAAACACACACCAGAGGGTTAAAGTGCCCGTACCTTGACCATCCTGGTCAAGCTGTATGGAAGGTTTGACAAATGAAAATAAGGATGCTTGTTCACTGGTGCTCGGAGTCAGTGCGCATTCTTTTTGGCTTCGCAATACCTCTCCTCACTCGGCACGTGCCGCCTTTCCTGAGCGCGGCGAAGCGCGGGAGCGTGCCAATGACTTGCGCCCGCCTGGGCCCTGATCCCAGTCCTGGGAAGCCTGGCAAGCTGGGCTTCGAAAATGGGCTTCGAATCTCAAAGGTCTCCCTTGGGCCTTTTCTGATCAACTCACGGGGAATCGCTTCAGGAAAGAACCCAACCCGGCAATCATTGGGCGGCATTTGAGGCTTCACTTCTCCACGCGGGCTTACCCCGCTTCGATATTGGAAAACACCAAGCCCTTGGCTTCTGCATCCTTCCGGTATATTAGCAAGCCAAAACCGAGGCTTTGAGGCAATGGAATTCAAGATGGTGTCCAAAACGGGTATATAGCCTTCATCAATGTGGTGAGTGGTTGTATACCCCCTACCCCTCGGACCCAGTGGTTTTGGGATGGAAACCATCCGGGTGTCAAAATCGGAGAAATGTGGCCCCCCAAACAAACAGCTTCCCCTTGGCAATCGCACAAAGGGGACGCTCAGAAACATTCAAAAACAATACCCCAAGAGGAAACTCATCAAGTGCCCCCAACAAGGGGCTTAAACGGGCTGAAAAAGGAAATATTCCAGCCATGCCTTCACTTCCAAAGATGATTGCCAAGCCCGGAAAATGTGCTGTTTGGTGTGTCTTAAAATATAGCAACCCGAACAGGTGGGTTTGGCTGTGGTTTCCCTTTAAACCCAAAAAGAGTGCCGAGCCCCAAAACAGACAGACCCACACCAGGACGGGACCCCTCAAAACGACGTCCGACATGCGACAACTCCGCCAGCACCGCCCCTCTCTTCGCAGGCTCGGGATCTCCCCGGATCCCTGCGACGCTTCGATGTGGACATCGAACCGAGCTTGAAGACTTGGAACCACCCCGAAAGTAAGCACAAGGGATTGATCATGCTGTGTGTTGAATGAATCTCTAGAAGTTTACGGGTTGTCATGGCCCACTTGGGACTTTTTCAAAGGCTCACTTTCTGTGATACGTCTATGACATTTTAACAGTTGGAAAGTGGTTTGGACATGAATCCCAGCCACGTCCAAAGGCCTCTCTTTGGACACCTCATCGTACATTGCCCAGAACAAAAACAAAAAACAAACAAAAACCCAGGGGTTCTTTGTTGGAATACACCCCTCTTGTTTCACGTACAGAAGCTCTGGACCCTGCTGGTAAAAGGAAAAATGGAACCTCGATCAAGTCTCTCCTCCTTGGATTTGTACCGTTCTAAGCCCGAAAATCCTCGGGGCGCAGATCTCCATGCGTCTAGCATGCATCATGCCCAGGCCTATCACCAGATTGCCCTTCTCATTTCTGACGATCTCCAGTTCGCCTCCCAATCGTCGCTCGATCCACTCCTGCAATCGAAGGCGCAGGCTCGAGTTGAATGGACATAGCGGGCCCGGAAAACACAGATACACGAAATAGGGGGAGAGACCAAAATCACCCCCGAGGAGGCCCCACCCCAGAAAGGACTTCTGTCAGAACCTCCAAGAAGGTCCCCTTCAGAATCCTTCCGTGGCTCGGGGCCCGGCGCTCCTTGAGCGAAACGACGTTTCCCTTGGGCAACACGTTCGCTTTGCCTGGCGCCGTATCTCTTCGCTTCGGAACCGAATGCGTGCTCCCGAAACCCAATCGGTAACTATCAGTGACCCTTTCAAGGGCCAGATTTTGGCAGCACAAAACGATTTGGGTTGCTAGGCAAGTTTGTAATTCACTCTTCTTTCAGACCAGGGAGAAAAAGTGCTGTCTGGGCAAAACTCATGTGTGCATGTCGTGGGGAAAAACTACTAATCTCTGTGTCATGGTAATACGAACCCAACCACATGGGTGTCCAAACTCTTTCTGGGGTCCATGACACAACCCCTACCCTGCCCAGGTTTCCACATAAATGGCACATGGCTCGTCTTGCACGCGCGAGCGTCGCAAGTCTCAGGGCATCGCATTGCCGAACCATCGCGTCAAGCATCGCTTTGGCCAAAGTCGGAGCCTCCTGTGCCAAAACGAAAAACCGTCAGTCCATTCAAAACGGCCATCAATCGGACCAGTTGATTTCCGTTGGAAACGGGCATCTTTTCATGTTTGGTAGTTGTTGTACAGGGAAACCTTTCCAACAGAAGAAGGGAAGGCACCACGGAAGGCCTGGGGGTGACCGATGCTCTGGGTCGCAGGCGCACCGTGGGTACAAACAGGGCACGGCTCGCAGTGCCACCGCGGGGGGGCCATGCGCAACCATGTGTTCCGTATGTATCAATATATATATACACTTAAATACACATACACACACACATGGACCCCCCGCCCCTTGCAAGATCCAGGCTTTATCTCTTGCAAGCAAAAACACTGCAAAACTGTTTTGACCACATGTTGCAGAATCTGATCCTGAAAATTGTTTTTCAGATTGCGGTCATTCTTCAGGAGCAGCTTAGACAGTCATCATTCTAGATCAGAGAGGAATCGTTCTTGAGCTGCAGTTCAGAAAGTGATTGTTCTTGATTGGCGGATGTTTGGCAACCTGAAGCAGATGCTTGACCAGCATACAAGTGACATGTGAAAGCCTCTGGACAAAAAGTTGACAGGCTTGTTTGCTTTCTCGGACACAAGTTTCAAGGGCCCTAATTCTGGCATGAGATGATAGTTTTTAGGGACCACGCTGCATTGGCAAAAAACTTCAATTCTGCCGGACGCAGGCCAAGCCATAGGCGACTCTGTAGGAGTACAGGTCGTGAAGTCGGCACACAGGCGCGCAAGCGCAGCTCCTTCTTCGCAAACCTCAGGCATACCTTTGCAGCGTATGCCTGAGTCGACGCCCGCGACCATGTCTTCGAAGCTGACACTTTCAGAGAACCGCCTGGCTTTTCCGGCATTTCCAGGCTGGCTTTCAGGATGCTGCAGACGCGCGCAAAACGAATCTGCACTGCTCCTTGTAAGCGAATCTTATTTTCGCAGTCCGTTCATGCGCGCGTTTCAGCCAAACTTAAACAAAGGGGGGCTTTAACCCAAACACGCTCCGCCTTCAAAGCAGAAGGCGTAAAACAAAACGTGTATAAAAATGAGGCCCTTGCCAGTCGCTGTGGACTGCGGAGGAGGCAGTGCAACCAAAAGACATTTCACGCTGAAGCACTCGCACCTTTTCCTTTCCTGCGCAATTGCGAAGTGCGCGTGCCAAATGTGTAGCACAAATCGAAGGGAGACATTTGATGCCAGTTTGTATGAACTGGCATGTTCTTCCCACTGCGCCCGTTTAATCCCCACTTCACTCGCTCAGTGGTGTGAGGAACTGCTTCCAATCCAATCGACATGCAACTGCGCCCCTTCTTTAAAATGGATGTTGTCAAAATCCAACCTGCTGGGACTGTCGGCAATGTTTGAATGTGAACCGACTCCCCCATACGAAGTTGATCTGCCATGTCCAGCTTCTGAATTCAAACACTTGCGCATGCCTGCTTCTGTAGTCGAACAACCCTTCACAAGCGCTGCCCTGGCTGCCTCGTTGTCTATGTAAACGACAAGCTGCTTCCCAACCAAAACAAATGACACCCAACCGGCAGTAATTTAATCTTGTATTTTGGATGGCCCACGCAACCCGTCAAATAATATGTCCAACGATTAGGGGGGCTTCACGAAAGTCTCAACCACATTGCCACTGCCAGCAACCAAAACTCCACGGCAGGGTTTTCCAAATCGCTAGCACCATCTGGCGGGGGTCGCCTCCTGAACTAGTTTCAACAAAGTCTCCAACGCCCTGCCCAAATCGGAGTTCAGTGTAAAGCGCTGATTACCTGTGACTGCCGCTCTACCAAGGATGGCAAGCGTCCAATTTGCGAATCTCCCAAAAATGAAGGGCAAGAACCACTGCAAGCAATCGTCCTTTCAGCTTGTCGGCTTCCTTGGCGACAATGCGCCCACGGTCAAAACGGCCTGAAGGTCAGTCACCAACTCGTTCGTCCGATTCTCCGTACGCTGTATTGCAAAGTGTCCGGATGGCGTATTCGAAATACCGAGGATTACACCGAGACAGGCACAGCGAGAAGAAAACTCTGGCCCTGGCATACTGAACTCCGAACAAACGCAACAAAGCTGTTATAGCAAAGTCTGTGTAAGTCGCGGTGTCTGCTCTGGTAACTGCCGTGAAATCATCAAAGATGGTAACTGCCGTGAAATCATCAAAGAAGGCACTGCCGACCACCCTCAAAGCAAACTTCAAGAGGTGAAACAAGCAAGAAGGAATGCGCAAAAAGGCAGCAACACTTCCAACCGCCCCGAAAGGCAGCGCAAGGACTCGGAAAAGCTTGTACCCAGAAACTTTGACCGCCGCCTTCAGTTTGGAAGTCAGTGGCAACCTCACCGCAAATTGTTTGTAAGAAGAAACCAGGTCCAAGGTGCGTCGCACCATCGTGTGCAAATAAGAAGCCATCACGTCCACTGGCTCCACTGACAGCTTCTCCGGCAGACCGAAAGCCATGTTCAAACCGCAACAAGAAAATCATCAATCAAGCGCGCTTTGACCCGTTGCTTCAAACGCCTTTTGGCCACTTGGTTCCACACTGATCCATCTCCTGTCCTCTGAAGCCAAGACCTGGCCCACGACTCCACGGTTGATCCCACAGGTTTCGCGTTGCAGCCTGAGAAATCTTGGGCGGTCTGACTCCCGTTCGAAACACCTCTGTCGCAGTAGCCCAACCCGTCATGTTGAAACCAACCATGACCTCGTCAATGACCTGCGTGTCCGGGTAATTCAAGGAGGCCAAAATCTCCTTCCATACCAAAAGTCGCTTCCCCTCCAAGATTTTTTAAGTGTGTAGGGAGTTTGCTGCGCAGCACGTCTTCTTGCCCTCTTCAAGCATTTCTTGAAAAAGGCTGCTCTTTTACTACTTAACAGCCGAAGCCTTGGCTGGAAGACCGTTTGTCAAGGAGCCCCTCAAGCGCCTGTAACCCTGGAGCCACTCGTTCATCTCCACTACAGCACCCAGCTTTGCTCACGGCGCAGCGCAGGATCTGGGCAACGCGTAGTCAGTCATCATCCGGACCTTGACGCGGACCCAGAACTGTGAAACAGGGGTCAAGCAGCGCAGAACAGCAGGCCGTCGCGCAGGCCGGAGTTGCAAGATGCGGGCAGCCTCAAGCTTTGACGGAAGCAGGCTGGCAAAGCAGCGTGGGCAAGCGGCCTCATACAAACATTCCTCTCTATGGACCTTCTCGTTGCGACGCCTCCTTCTTATTCCCTTCTATTCTTCTTTGTTTCGGCTTCCCATTCCTTCTCATGGAATTCTATTGACCTTCTCATTCCAACCATTGTGTGTATTGACCTTCTCGTTTCTTTTTATTGACCTTCCTTTCACACGTCAAGCTAAAGCTCATCTAGTACAACGCGCATCAGGTCAAAGCTCCTCGCCCTGCGTTTTGGCGGCGAGTAAACAAACCTCGCGGCCAAAACTGTGCTTTGATACACTGCCAAGATTCGTTGAAACGCTCAAGCAGCCCTGACGAAAACAATCTTCTTCAGGATCTCGGCTCTGTGCGTAAAAACTCACGGCTGCTTCGGAAAAGCACAATCCAGGCAAGGCTCAAAACGCTTGGACGCACGACTTCTTCCACGCTTGCAAGCTTTGTCGCACTGCCAGCGATACGCCCCTCCAGGGAAAAATCGCTTCCTGCTTGAAGTGCATAGGAGTTGGCTTGCTCTGCAAAGTGACATGCATCCCAAACGCGCATCCAAAGGCGAACATCAAAATTGCACAAAATGCAAATCCAGCACAAGGAGGAAATTGCGCAAATAACCCCGCTTGCTCAAGAGCTGCATACCATCAGTCATCCATTTTGCGCTCGTGAAGACCACGGATCCCGGAAAGAAAAATGCAAATGCAAAACACGCAAGTCAAAGTGCCCAAAGCCGACGCGCTGCGCTTGAATTGGGTTCGGACGCACACTGCCACGCGCCACACGGCAATGGCACACACGACCGGAAACTTCATCTTCTACGCTGCAGTCTGCAAAGTGGTAGCACAGAAAACATGCCCAAGCGCAGAAAGTCTACACACGCGGCCGCCGACTCTCACGTAATGATCCTCGTTGGAAGTTAGGACTGTTTCGCCACTGGTCTCCACTGTGAAGAGGACACTGTCAAAGTGGAACACTTCTGCGCCTCAGGCAAGTGAAAGAGAGACAGGGCAAAGACAATGTCAACTGACATCAGTTTCAAGTAACAGCCCCTGCCCAAGCAAAATCCCGCAGAAAAAGCCAAGGAGCCATCTAGCAGGTGACCAACCTTCGTTGGCCAGGAGATAGGCAACGAGGGTGATCCCAACAAAATGACCAGACATACCCGAGCCTGCCTATAAGACAGTCCAAAGATGTGCCGAGCAAAAAGCTGCAATTCAGCTCTCCCGTGCATCCACTGCTTGTTCTGAGTTGCAGTTGTTCCTGCCAAGTTGGCCCACATGTATGAGTTGTAAGAAGGCACCAGCTCGCATACAAAACGTGTGTTTGCTGCTTGGCACTCGGATGTGTTCAGATTCTGGCAAAGCACTTGGTTGAAGCTTGCATTCTGTAAAGCAAAAGGTTGCAGAAGGTTGGGTCTGCTGGGCGTGGATCATGTGGGGGAGGGCGAGCACACACACATATACACATATATATATATATACATGCTACCCCCCCCCCATGGACCCTGGTTGTACTGCCTTTTGAGGATGGCAAATCTAGAATCTCAAATAATTATATTCTCGAAATGTCAAATTGTGGGTCCCCAAAGCCTGATAATTTGGAGCCCGGAGTCCTCCATAATGTCCCAACATGATGCCCTTTCCAAATAGGATTTTACTTCAACTAGAATTGTAATTTTGAATATAGCTTAGTAAGGATATAGTTTTCAAAAATGTGTTTATGTTCAATTACAGCTTAAATAAGCAATTCCTTGCCAGCCAAATAGGAGCTACATGAAAACGTGAATAAAGTTCCGGGTAAACTCCACCTAATCTTCAAAACAAGAAGTTAGATAGGAGTTTATTCCCAAATATATTCTAAGTGTTAAATATAGTCTAATACGAACACAATTCAATTAGCTTTTGATAATAACAATTAAATAGAGACTACTTCTCCAATATATCTCATATCAAATATGGCAAAACAAGGCAATTCAAAATACGATTTGTGTTTCTAACACCTCGAACGTATTTTACCACTGGATTGAAGATTCGAGATTGACATATTTCACGGCAAACGTTTCCGAACATCTTGTTGAACACCGAGAGTATTGTGACAACCCCGCACTTTTTAAAAACTAAAACAAATCTGGGATGCAAGATTCAAGATTCGCAGAAAATATTTTCTCAGATTCTTGAATCTTGAATCCAGATTTGTTTGATTTAACAATAAATAAATGAGTTGTTCTTATACTCTTGGATGCATTCAAATTCTTGCAGATTGCAGATGCTGATGTCATTACTTGTTCAAATCTGTATGCATGCATGAATACCCTATATACATAATATGGCATCCCCTCCCCCCTAATTTTGACACACAATCCAAGAAGCGAAAAAAGACATACAACACTGTAAAATACAGGTCAAACGCACCAAACCAGGGTCCATGGGGGGTATATATATATACACACTTGCTTTCCTCTAGCTATACAAGAGTCACTCTTGCGATCCTCCTCCGTCCAGTTTTCCAGAAAGGCGAGGATGGAGTCTCGCAACATGTCCTCGAGGGTCCAAGAAATACACCCTGACTCCAGATTTCCCAAAAGGCACCTCAGGCTCAATGGCAAGTTGGTCAAACATTTGGGTTTGTCAATGGATGGCGTCACTTTGGTTTCTCTTTAAACCACTCAAAAAAGTTACAAGACACACTAACGTTCATGGCCAACATGTGGACAAAACGGTGCCTCCCTCAAAAACGAGGACTGTCCCATGCCCCTCAATTTCACCAAAATGGGAAGGGTGGACATGGAACCAAAAACTTGTTTGTCCACCAAACGCACCCTGGGAAACGGACCGACCAATTTGGGCCTGTTCCCAGAGAAAAAGCCACATGGGGCTTACTTCGCCACTTGTGGGGCTCCGTTCTGCAAAACCATCCCAAAGCGGCGAATGCGTTGCCCTCAAATAAATTGGGCAATCCCTTGTCATTTGGAGTTGGTTGCCCAAAGGTACAATTTGTGTCCATGAGCCACCGTCAACGTTTCCGTGTCTTTTTTGGGCATCCCATGTGTTGGTTAAGAATAGGAGGATAGACAAATCAGGAGATGTTGACCGAACCTCACATGTTGCTATGTAGGGTTCCCGGTATTTCCCCTCAGAACGTCACCCCTTCTAAAGGGCAACTCAATTTAGAGGGCCCCACAAAGTAAGACGGGACCCCAGTCCCCTGTCCTCCGCCGGGGTGAAGGAGTCCGCAGGGAGGCTCTTAAAGAAGTTGTCCGCGATCATCCGAGTGGAGTCTGCCGATGAGAAGTTGCAGAAGGCGGTTGGTGAAACTGGGAACCGGGGTTGGTGGCAAAACTGGTTCAAACACCCAAGCCCTGGTGCGCCTAGGAGGCACAATAAAAACAGGTGCTTCAACACGTTTAAACAGTTGGCTCGCCCAACAACTGGGGATGTTTCAAGTCAATCACCAAAAAAATGGGAATAGAAACCGAGGAGGCAACCAACCCCCAAAAAAAAATCAAAACATATCCCTGTTTTGGGCGTAAAAATGATTCGACCCCCCCCCCAACAAAAAAACAACAGCGGCTCGTGGCTCGCGCGCCTACCCCAACCCGCGGGGGCGCATCGACCTTGCCCTTGGGCTCGAACTTGCCTTGGATCAAACTGACCTCCAAAAAGGTCAAAGCGTTCTGATCACCGGGGGCCAGTTGAGTCGCCCATGTGTCTTTTTGCTGTATGCCTCTACCGGCTTGCTGGTCGTTCAATCGGAAACCTCCAACAGTAACTCTGAGACCTCAAAATGCTCCAGAGAACCAATTAAAAAAAGGACCGGGTGTCTGCTTGTTTGATGATTTCAAAAAGAGCCCCCCTCCAAAAAAGGTTGACAAGAAAGTATATGGATATATAACAAGGTATTATTATTATTATTCATAGTATTATTATTATTATTATTATTATTATTATTATTATTATTATTATTATTATTATTATTATTATTATTATTATTATTATTATTATTATTATTATTATTATTATTATTTATTATTATTATTATTATTATTATTATTATTATTATTATTATTATTATTATTATTAATTATTATTATTATTATAAATAAACAAAGGCACCCACTGGGTGACTTTCAGCCATCAAACTCACCGAGCCGCCGTTGCCCTTTCCGGCCGGCGCCGCCGGCGCGCCAGCCGCGCCGGTGCCGTGGGCTGCCGGGTTTTCTGGGCCGGGCGAAAACACGGAATCACCCCAGCTGCACTCAAAAAACACACACACACCATGGGATGTGGCGCGTGCGTTTTTTGTGTGGGGATTTTCTAGGTGTTTGTGGTGTTTTTGTAGGATGTTTGCAAGGTGTTTGTGGTGGTGTTACATCCAAAAACCACCAGTACAAGAAATTGTTCTGAATCAGGGACCCTGCTCACCCGTTGGCCGTTTGCAGGCTCTTCAGTTGAAAATCAAGTACTTTGGGAGCGGATGTCTCCCCCATATTTTCAAGAGGGCTTTGCTCACGTGGAACGAGCTACCGGGGTTTTGGGGTTGCCGTGGTTCCATATCTCACCACAAAAGGGCCTTGAGAAACTTAGGTTGTTGGCCGAATGGGGATCGGTCTAAACTGGGGACACCCATCTGGATAATATCCAAGCGAAACCACAAAAAAAGCTATGCCTAAGAATCTGACTCTTTCTGACAGGGTGTGCCTGTCTTTTTCAGGCCCGGTGCCCTCCCAAACAACCTGCCTTTGGGGGTGGGAGCGTCAGTGCCAGCGATCATTTTGCGGCATCAAACCCTCTGCCAGGTTCCATGTTAGGGCAAGCATCTGCAAGAAGACCTGCCGAGGGCTCGGGACCCCATCCAAGGCCAACCTAAGGCCTCCGGCTCGCGGGTTCTTCCTGGCAGCGGCAGGATGGTGAAGCATTTGGCTGTGGTCAACCCAAAATGCCAAGGCTCCCTTTAAAACCAACCACACGGGGCCAGACAAGATACCCCTATCTGCTGTCCGCTTTTGAGGCTCAGACCTTTGCGGATAAGGGAAAGCCAAAATAGAACAGCCAAGCCGAAACCCATTGGGGCCTGTCTTCAGGGATGTTGAACTGGATCCAAAGTGGTCGCATTTCCCAAATTACGGTTTGCTCGGTCGTTTCCCTGCAGCAGCCCCAAAATGGTGGGGTTCCTCTTGGCTTCCTTTAAAGCCAGCCAAAAGGGGGTACCCTCAAAAATATAGACCCATTAGCGATTCTGGGGAAACAATGTTGATTCCCATTGGTCTTTGAAAGGAAAACCAATTGGAAACCAATCTGGAGTTGTCCCTAGTTTCGAGAAACACACACGCATGCGTCAAAGACCCTTAAAAATTGTGAGAGAAAGAAAAAACAAAAAGGAAACAAAGCAAACCCCATATCACCTTGGACGTTTTTCACGGATCCATCCCGTCGACTCCTCGCTCCGCTTGCAGACCCAGTCTTTCGCAGTGACTTCCACCTGGCGACGCAGAAATCGGAAAACCTCACCCTCAAAACCGGTGGCTTTTTTGGCCCCCAAAACAGCTGTTTCGCAACAAGGGGGCAAACAAACTCCTTGATTTGGCCCTTTGGAAAATTTCAGCCAAAGGCCCCTGTCTCTGTAAACCACAAAAAGGGTACCCTCAAAAACATACACCCTGGCGTGCCACAAAGAAAAACATCTCGTGTGTGGCTTCCTGCCTCTCCTCCGATGCGTCGGTCAATCCAATCGCGCAAAGGGACCTGTCCGCTGCCCGCTCAGAGGGCTCCAAATGGCTTCCTTTCAGATGCGACCACATTGAGAAGGTCCTGCGCACGCCTCTTAGAACCCGTTCAGTAGAACCCGGAAGTGGGGTCAAAAAAAGGTGCCCAGACAAGGTCAAAAAAATCGCCAAAGTTTGTATCTGGGCGTGTGCCCTGGTTTGTGGAAACCGCCAAAAAGTCCGGAGGAAACCCACTATTTTGGAGAGTCGACCCATCTCATGCTCTTTCAGCCATCTCCTACAGGGTGGGGCCAACCCATTTAAACTACTGTTTAAACATCCTCCTTTTGGATAATCTTCAAAGGTGAGCGTGTTTTGTTTGAGGCTCGGTGCCGTTTCTGGGATTACTTCAAAGCGAAACCAAACGGAAACCGAAGCCCATTGGGGGGTCCTCCTTTTGACTAACCCAGGTGCACATGACACCTCCCAATGCCCCGCGCCTCGTCTGGCAGGAACCTCCGCTTGGCTGACAGCACGGCCGGGTGCCCGTTCATCGCGAAGATATTGCACCCGCCGCGGGAGAGCAGGTTCAAGACCTCTCTAGAGTGCGGTCTAGCTTTGGTTTCAAGTTTTGTTTGAACAAGCAACCCCTGGTTCAAGAGAGGGCTTCTCACAGTGGAGACTCTTGTGGTTGGTACTCAAAGAGAGACAAACCCATTTTAGGGACCACTCTTTTGAGAAACCCCCAAAAGGAGGTCTGAAAAAACTCTGGCTAAAGTGCCATGCGGAAACGTCAGGTCGCCTCAAAGGTAGACAGGGCTCCCTTTTTCTGTCTAACATCGCCTCCAAGGAGTCTCGTGCCAAAAACGTCAACTGAAAGGTGACGTTTAAATCACCCAGGGGCAGAAAAAGGACCCCTTTTCCGATGGCAGTGGTACGCTTGAAGCCTGGAAGGAAATGACCCTTGCCGCGGTGTAAGCTTAGATCGATGTGTGGACCATCTCTCCAAATGCCAAAGAAAAGGCATCATGATTTTACCATCATCAAAGTCACCGCCCAAGCAAGTCAAAGAGGACCACGCCCAGCTGAGGTTGAAAACCTCCAGAAACTGCCAAAACTATGACCCCAGGTCCTTGACCATGCATCAAATGGCTCAAAAAGCTGGTCTCCCACCTCACACCATTTGACCAGGAGCGTCTTGCATCTAAAATGCAAAGGCACTTAGCACGACCTAGCACGGACCCGGCAGGTTTAAGCAACTCTGTAGTGTATGGCACATCCTGTCATGTGGGAACTAGTATCCCCCAGGGTTTGCGCAAAGCGAGGTGAATCCAGTAGGCTTTTGTGCTGTTCCCATCCGGCCCATTAAGTGGGCGTAAGTATTAATCAACCCTTTGATGACATTGGGATTTATGTCGGCACCAGTTCAAAGGTTTTTGGGGCTGTAACAGCTGAGCGAAGAAATCCTGATGCTTCTTCTGAGCAGAAAGCAAGAATTACTACGGCCTTGCAGCACATATTCCGCAATGAAAGTTCGAACCCGAAAAAAGCACATATGCACGAGGGAGAGTGCGGGTAAAGCTGGGAAGAGAATTTCAAAGTTGAGCTGGACACCGGGCCATGGCTGGCTCTCCTGGAATGCCCTTGTTGGGCCTTCAAAGGAAAACCAAAACGAAAAACCGCCCCATTTTGCGGGTTCACATGAAACCTGTCTTCCTTTTGTCAGTCCTCTTTTTGGGGGCTGCTTTACAGAGAAGCAACCCACATTAGCCACGTATGCTCTTCCGTACACGGAGCCCACCCTTGACCAAGGGATCATAGACACAGCTGAGCGCTGCGCCGCCTGCCGAAGGGCCACCTCCTCATCGCTCAAAGCTTCCTCCGGCAGTTGGTCCAAGATGGTGCTGGCGTCCTGTCGCGAGCGAGTCACAAGGGCCTGGTGTTTTGGTGTTGCGATGCTGGTCACCCCAAACTTTGATACCCGCTGACCAAACCAGGCAACCAGCCAAACCAGGCAACGTGCAAATGCCCCAAACGAGGTGGCCAAGCAAAATGGACCTCACACGTGCCCAACACACACCCCTCCCTTCCCCCCAAAGGTTTGATATCTTCTATTGTTCAACAGCGTTCCGGGCACGTGTTTATACCTGCCAAGGTGTTTCTCCACATGGGATTCGAACCCCTCTTGGTTGGTACTTCAAGGGGCCCAAAGCGAAACAACTTTTGTGTTTTTTTTGGGGGGGGTTCTTTCCTCACTTCCAAAGTGGATTGGCCAAAAAGTGTCCGAACTGTTTCTTTGCCACAAAAAATGGTCCAACCCCCGCTCCGGCGGCGCTGTGCCGGAGGAGGCACCTCGCACGTCCCCGGGTGGTCTTTTTTAGCGGGTGGCTCGTCTTTGTTGCCGAGGGTACCCCGTTTTTGGTGTGGTTTGAAAGGAAGCCAACCGGAAAACCACCAGTTTAAGCACCTTTGGGGGGAGACCCCTAAGAAAAGACACACCCAAGTGGGGGTTCAGACCGCAACCCGCTGGGACGGGTTTGTGAATCAAGGATCAACATCGCATGGCATAAATCCCTTCATGTGGAGAAGCAAATGGCCAATTCAAAATGGGCTGGAGCTGCGCCGTCTACTTGCACACTCTCAAAATGGCGAGTGTCTCAGGCTTACATCCTCAAATTGTGATAGAGGCTTATAACAACTTGCTGAACGTGACACGTTTGGCCTTTTGGGATGGGACACATGATAGATCGTTCTAAACAACAAAATGAAAGTGTATGGGAACCTCCAGTATGGACCTCACTAGTTTCGCAATAGGCTTGTGGCAAAATTGGCAGTCCCAAAATGTGCGGCTTCAACCACCATGAATTGGTACCCTCGGGAAAAGACACACACCTTTTTGGTCGAAACTACACCGATTGCCTGGAAAATACAAGGAATCGCGCCAAGAGAAAACGGAGTCTTATCATGTTCCCCAGATTCTGCAATAATGGCAGTGCACCAGCACCAAATAGCGGGTATGGTGTACAAGTAGATTGAAGTCTCTGGTACCCCTACTAAGGATATACGACGGTAGTCCTTACATCATGCCTTCATGACCGTCCCTACGCAACTCCCAAGAATCGGTTGCATTATACTCTGAAAGGGCCGGGGCCTGGTGCTCAAGTTGGCCTGCAACCCCTTGGGCTTTTGAGCATACCCCGACCCAACCCATCAAGATTCCGTTCATTCGCATGCTTGGCCCCAAGGGACCAGCCAGGCTCGAGTTCGAAAGCCGAGGACGGGACCGCTTCGGTGCACCTCAACCTGCCCTCTCCTGGTGATCGGCTCAAAGACGCAAGGATGCCCCAAAAAACTGCCAGGGGAACAAGAAATGTCTGGCAGTTTCCCTCAGATTTTGTGAGTTGGATGCAGTGGCGCGCTTCCAATTGGGATATTCACAATTGCACTATATAATGTTGACCGACGGGGAGGCCAAAACGAAGCTCAACTGCCCCCCCCCCTGCCCCCCCCCCCCCCCGTTTGGTTCATGAGCCAAAGTTAAAAAAGCTTGTTGCCCCACAAGGACAGGAGGCTTGTCTCAGAATAGGGGACCCCTCAAAACTAGGCGTTTTCCATGGGTCTTACAGATTTCCGTGGGTTTAGTGAGACATGTTGCGAGTTCCGCAAAAAGAAAACAAAATGGCTGCAATGGCTCCACGAGTTGGCTCAAAACGCCCCCAAGATGCAGCCACTTGAATGATCCCGGGAAAAACCCCGGGCCAACAGCAACAGGCATCACCTGTTGGGCAAGTCTAAAGGAAGTTTCCTCTAAATGGGGTGAACCCTGACAGCAACTAAGGCCAGGGCTGGTTGGTCTTCAGCTCTACTTCCCCACCGATTCTGGCTTCTATCCAGTCCTGTCTCTCGCATATCGATGTGTTGTGCGCAACGCGGCACGCTCTGCATATATATATATATATATATATGTGTTTTATTTTTCTATAAAATTAAAAAATGTATAAATATATACAAACAATATATTATATGATACAACTAATATACATATAATATCTAGCTATGCAAACATGTATGTGTTTATGTATATATATATATGTATATATATATATACATATACATGTGCGTATAGATGTTCATATATGCATATGCATATACGTATCTTACATGTGTGGATACATATAGACATGCATATGATGTGTTGTAATATGTATGTGTACATGGAATACAAAACAAACAAAGAAACTCTGGGTCTACGCACATACGCATCATAGGAACACGCCACACACACACACACACACTCATACATAAACACACTGTCCTTCAATGAGACGTTCTGCGGCAGAAGCGCAGAGCGGCAAAAGCCGACTCGAGGGTCGTTGACCACCTGAGCAAGGGAGGCCAAACCTATCTAAGCACTATACAAACAGACACCTTTCTTCAAGTGATATATATATATATATGTGTATATATATCCCGTTGTCCGATTGGGGGGGCTGAAAACCACCTCAAGAAGTCTGGACATATTTCCTCCCGAGCTCACTGATTCGGGGGTAGGAGCAAATTTCACCCATGAAGGTCTCTTAGAACCGACGATCTCAACCGGGGCTATGGATTTGGATCTCAATTGGGGGCCCCAAGTGGACAGTGAAAAAGCGGGACTTTGTGTTTACTAGCCATTTTTGCCGGTAAAACCATGTGTATTCATAGCTATCTGGTCAGAATTACAAATGTTTCCCCAAAAACAACGAAATGAACCATAGACTGGAAACTTTGTCTGAACCACACGATATGAATGGTTGAAAAGGCTTCTATCAACCTTCTCAACGTGATCCATCTAAGATGGCGTCCACCACCCCGCAAACCACTACCCTCAAGCGAGAACGGGGTATATACCCTTTGCATCGTGGCTGTAGTTGTGGTGAATGTATATCCCATTAAACACTGCGGGTAGTGGCTTGGGGACAGCAGGAACCATCCTAGAATCCAGGAACAAAATGGCCACGCCTTGCGGCATCTAGATCTCTGAGAGGACACACTCATGCGGGAAAGCAACCAGTTTTATGTCTTCTCTCAATCTTGCTGGGACCCTGACCAAAGAAATACTCCCAAACTGTCCGAGGTGGCAACGCATTCCTTGGGTGGGGGGAAAGGGACAAAGTGCATTTGTCAAAACAAGGGACTCAAACAAACAACCCAAGCAGCCGGACTCAGAAAACAAATAGACTCGAAGAAAAGCAAGGACTCAATTTCAGACTCGCGGGTGCGGGAGGCTGGGGGGAGGAGAGGGGGCAGGGTCAGAGGGGAGAGGGGAGGTAGAAAACCCCGGGAAGAAAACAATAAACCATCTAACAAACAAACGAAAAAACATAAAGAAGACTCAATTTCAGACTCGGGGTGGGCTGGAAAAAGGGGAAGGGGGGGACTGGGGGGCTCGCCTTTCGATTTGTTCTGAGTCCGAAATGTTGTTTTTGCTTTGGGTCAGATTTTTTGAGCCAAGTCGTGTTCCTGAGTCCGAGTTTGCTTGTTGATTTGCATGTAGGTTTTGGGGCTGGATTTTGTTGACGCTGTGTTCGTTTGCTTTGGCCTTGGTAATTTGCTTCACTCGGCACCCATTTCTCTGAATAGACGTCTCATAATCATAGGCTTCGGATTCCTTTTAGCTTCCCTTGCAAAGCCCAACAAGGGCACCCTCCAAAAATACCCCGGTGACACATTCGGACGTGCGAAGCGGTTCCGGAAATGCAGTTGGACACCGAGGCCGCGGCATCCCCGATCAAGGGAGCGGCTCCTTTGCCCTTCCCAGGCCTACAGCTTCCATGGGCTCCACCCCAAGGCTACGTCCCCGAAACAAGCGGACCTTCCATACAGTGGCTACATATATATATATATATATGTGTGTTTCTTATATGTGTGCATATCTATTCCCCAGCCCTTGGAAAGGTGGGGCATCTGAAAATGCAATTTGCGTGTTCGACGGTGCACTTGTCTCCCTCTTGTGCCCTTCCAGTCCCTGGCAGGCTTCCAACATGTCCTACTTGGGGAACCAGATCTTACATTTCGGGCCCGCGCGTCCCCTACAAAAATGTCAGCTGCTGACCCAGACCTGCCTCAACCCATAATATTCTCGCAAGATGTCAGTAGGTAAAAGCAACAAAGTTACATGTTCAATAAACGTGAATATTTGTAGCTTATGTTATTGGGCGTCCCGCCACTGAATTTCCGCCATTGAGGGGGCGGCGACTGTGGCTTTGCACTTTTAGCCAATGTTCATAGTGGCTTTGCACAATATATATATATATATGTGTGTACATCTACGCTATGTACGCCAGGTGTGTATGTATGTCACGTATGTATGTAGTGCTTGCTTGCTTGCTTGCTTGCTTGCTTGCTTGCTTGCTTGCTTGCTTGCTTGCTTGCTTGCTTGCTTGCTTGCTTGCTTGCTTGCTTGCTTGCTTGCTTGCTTGCTTGCTTGCTTGCTTGCTTGCTTGCTTGCTTGCTTGCTTGCTTGCTTGCTTGCTTGCTTGCTTGCTTGCTTGCTTGCTTGCTTGCTTGCTTGCTTGCTTGCTTGCTTGCTTGCTTGCTTGCTTGCTTGCTTGCTTGCTTGCTTGCTTGCTTGCTTGCTTGCTTGCTTGCTTGCTTGCTTGCTTGCTTGCTTGCTTGCTTGCTTGCTTGCTTGCTTGCTTGCTTGCTTGCTTGCTTGCTTGCTTGCTTGCTTGCTTGCTTGCTTGCTTGCTTGCTTGCTTGCTTGCTTGCTTGCTTGCTTGCTTGCTTGCTTGCTTGCTTGCTTGCTTGCTTGCTTGCTTGCTTGCTTGCTTGCTTGCTTGCTTGCTTGCTTGCTTGCTTGCTTGCTTGCTTGCTTGCTTGCTTGCTTGCTTGCTTGCTTGCTTGCTTGCTTGCTTGCTTGCTTGCTTGCTTGCTTGCTTGCTTGCTTGCTTGCTTGCTTGCTTGCTTGCTTGCTTGCTTGCTTGCTTGCTTGCTTGCTTGCTTGCTTGCTTGCTTGCTTGCTTGCTTGCTTGCTTGCTTGCTTGCTTGCTTGCTTGCTTGCTTGCTTGCTGCTTGCTGCTTGCTTGCTTTGCTTGCTTGCTTGCTTGCTTGCTTGCTTGCTTGCTTGCTTGCTTGCTTGCTTGCTTGCTTGCTTGCTTGCTTGCTTGCTTGCTTGCTTGCTTGCTTGCTTGCTTGCTTGCTTGCTTGCTTGCTTCTTGCTTGCTTGTTTGTTTGGTTTTTTGTGTGCTTCTTGACTTGCTCGCTTGTTTGTTTGAGTGCTTGTGTGTTTGCTTGTCTGTCTGTCTGCTTACTTGTTTGTATGTATGTAATGCACGTATGACTGCATGCATGCATGCATGTACGTGTGTGTGTGTGAATGCACGTATGTCATGTCATGGCATGTCATGTTATGTCATGTCATGTCACGTCATTGTCCTGTCCTGTCCTATCATGTCATGTCATGTCATGGTATGTCATGTCATGTCACGTGCATGCATGCATGCATGTATGTATGTATGTATGTATGTATGTATGTATGTATGTATGTACGTACGTACGTACGTGCGTACGTGGGTATGTATGTGTATAGTGGCTAAAGTACATATACACGTATTTGTATGTATCAAATGTGTGTGTGTGTGTATGTATATATATATATATATACACGTATGTGTGTGTGTGTCACGATCAAACTCCTGCGAGTATGGGTTCGGGGGTAGTGGGCTTTGCTACACCAACCTCTCCAGGAGAACAGACATGAGCCCTGGACAAAATGACACGTGTTTCTGAAAAAACGGGCAAGGGGAAATTTGGGCCTTGTCTGATTTACATCTTGGCATTTTGGGGTTCAACTTTGAAAAAGGGGCCAGCTACATTCCCACAATCAAGAAAATCGGCAATTGTCAGTTGCTCTGCAATATGCCCAAGCAAGCCTGGCCAAATAAACGGGAAGGGAACTTTTCTGGGTTGCCCACTCAAGCAGTTGCCTCTACACATGCTGTACTTCCCTTGAGACTCTGTACACTGCGTCAGGGCCCGGATTGGAAGTTTTGGGGATGTGAAGCCCTGCGTCATGCCCAAAGTAGGGCCTCTTTTGGAACGGTGACACTCAATGCCACCTTTGGAGTGGGTCCAACCGGGGTGCATTTGGGCACCTCTCCACTCTGCGAACGCTTTCTGCACGCGCCTTTTGCTCCAGACATCCAGCCAATCCAGCACGGATTGACGCAAAGCCAGTTCCTCCCCTGCGCGTGGGGCCACGCGATTTCGGCAGCGAATGGACCGAAAGGACGGCAAGGGCCACTGGCAAGGGCAAGGGGTCAGAAAGGCGGGCATGCGATTCTTGAGAGAACTCTTGAAGGGCTTACCTTAGAGAAAAACCGAGGGGGAACCGAAATCCAATTTGGGGGGTCCGATGGCTCATGACCAGGCGGTCCTGTAAGCTCGTCTTGGGGCAAGGCCTCCAACCACTGCTCCTTGCCTCGGATCGGATCCAAGTCGCAGATCCAAACCCGCCGTGTCTCTTTTGGGGGACCCGCAAAATGGTGGGTTGTCGTTTTGGTTTCCCTTGCAAACCACAAACAAAGGTGCCTTAAAATTTTAAAAATCGCCAGGGACACACGCGAAGAGACAAGTGCGGAGAAAATGGGGAGACAAGTGGCGACACAAGCCGTGACAAGGTCCGAGTCAGCAACAACAAGAAGGGAGACACATGCGAAGACCAGTACGATCGGGAGACAGGTTGGGGGGGTGACAAGACCTAAGTGAAACAAAAGGGGAGACGAACAGTGAAAAGGTCCCAGTCAGCAGTCACAAGCAGGGAGACAAGTGGCGGGTAAACGAGCACAAGCAGTGAGTCAAGTGGGGAGACAAGTAGGGCATCAAATGTGGAGACAAACCGATCTAGAAACTGGAAACAATGCTTTGCACGAATAGAGAACCCCAACAGCCAAGCTGGTTCGGGGAAAAAGTCACTCCAAAAATTTCGAAAGAATACAAAACAATAGACCCCCAAAAAAAGAACCTACATAGGGTTCCGTAAAACATACATTGCGAAACGACCTGCAGGATTCGGAGCTTGGTGACGCGACTGGCCTCGGCGATCCGTTAAGGGGACTGCACGCACCAATCTTTCGGAAGCCAACTGGGCGCACCGCTTGGCACCGGCCCCTTTGCCCCTTTGGCCACGCCTTTGCCACCCTGGCACCGACTCCAGGCTTGGCCAGACAACTGCGTTCTTGTTAAGTGATAGTGGTTGTGGCTCAAGCATAGGAATCGGCCGAAAATGGAACCCTGCTAAATGGAAGAGTGGACTACAGACTGCGGTTTCCTGGCTCTTAATCTTTGAGCCACACCTGAATGGATGAATAATGATGGGGAAACCGTGGGCAAAAGAGTGCGCCAGCGAAGTCTGGCAGCAGGCTGCGAAAAGAATCCGATCTCGCTGTCAAAGGATCAAAAACAGCAGAAATGCTCGCAAAGGTGCGGCTTCTCGTAAGGCGGACACATCACGCCGCATGCAAGCAGCGCCGATCCCTGCCCGGCCTTTCCCACAGCTCCTCAGAACACAGGCGCGCAGCTTACCCCCAATTGGTGGTTCTTGTTTGGTCACGTGTACCTTCGCCATGCGAAATGAGAACCGAGGTCCAAACTCCAATCCAAAGCACAGGGCGAGCGGAAAGCAACTGAGGTGATGGCCAACGGCTGGAAATGGATTTGCCTTGCCAGCGTTCATGGCCTCGCGAGACTGGCAAAAGCAGACAAATGTCATAAGGGTGCGGGTCGAAAATAGGTACCCAAAATGGAACCCCGGCAAATGGAAACAAGGACTAAAACCTGCGATCCCCCTGGTGGTTTAACTTTGACCCATGCCCATAACAAGGATGCTGTGGATGGACAAACGTCCGTCCAAGGCACCGGTTGACATTGATGAAGCCCGATGAATACTGGGTGCCAAGCCTATCTGCAGCATGTTGACCATCCACAGTACCATTCATCTGAACAAATGTTTATGTCGTTATTCACCAAAAAAAACTCTGAACAAATGTTTATGTTGTTATTCACCAAAAAAAACAAACTAGACGAAAAAGAAACATGGCTCCCTACAAGTGTCGCAACCTTCATCTGCGAGCGTGGGAAAGCTCCGTGGCATCGCCCAGTGCTGAGGTTGCTGCGTGCCTGCGCAAGGCTGTGAACTTCTCCGCCACCTGAGTTGAGACGTGGGGGTCGATCAAAAGGTCCCTTACATGGGGGTGACCACTGGGGAAACCACGGAACAAGATTTGACTTTCACCCCCTAGATAGGAAAAGTTACCCATGGTCATTTTGAGATCAACCCCCACATGGGGTGTGGAGATATGGAGGTTTTATACCACTTCTACAAGGGGTACTGCGCCACAAACATATAATATTCGTAGTGGCACATAAACATACATGCCTTCGACAATCCATGCCAGGAAATGCCCTTGAAATCCCAAAATGGGTTGGTTATTTTCGTGTCCCTTTAAAACCATCCAAAACGGTGTTCGTCATTTTGAGCAGCCCCCCCAAGCGTATGTCAAACATGGTTTCCGCTAACTCCCAAACCACTACCCTCCAGGAGAAATCGGGGTATATAACCCTGCGGGAAGTGGCTTGGGGTATGCATCTAGCCTGACAAAACTGAGTGCCGGTCAATCTTCTTGGCCTCAATCAGCAAAGCTCGTTGGCGAAATGACCGCATGACCGCTGCACTCGTTGCCTCCGGCAACACCTGGACGACCTCTTGTCCTCGATGGTCCTGGCCAGTTAGCGATTCCGCGATCCATGTGGACAGGATACCATTTTTGGGGGAGCCAAAGGCAAAGAAAAAGCTGGAAGGAAGCCAGCGTGGGGAATTCCCTATTCGACGACCCCCCAGAAAAGAAAAACGGAAAACACAAAGTGGCTTTCTTTCGTGTCCCTTTTAAGCCACCCTAAGGGTTCCCTCAAACACACACCCAAATGGTGAATGGGGAAGTCGGGGCAGTTGAAAATTCGGTTGACCCCTGAGATTCCGATGTAGAGCAGTCGTTCCCTTCGGCACCCCCCACTCCCGGTCTAAGCCATGTCTTTTTGGAGACCTTTGAACCTTCGCTTGGAAAAAAAAAGGTACCGGCCATGTGTTCATAGGCTCTACTAAATGATACATTGTAGCCGCTTAAAAGTTCACTTTTGCCAGCTGATGTAGAGGATTCTGCCGTAATGCAGGTGGTTTTGGGATGTATCCTTTGAGGCGCCTATCAAGTGGAATCAAACAGACCCGTTGAAAGGAAAATCGCCTTCCAGGACTCTGAATCAGCTTCCATGTGGCTCAAAACTAAATTGGTGCGCAGTGTTTACTCTTGCACTATACCAAGAAGGTGCTTTTTTACGTGGATTCCTCCAGGTTGTTGTTTTTTCTTTTTTTTCCGCCGCCACCTGGACGTGGCGCCACCGAAACTCTCCGCGCTCCCGGCCGCGCCTTTTGGAACTCCACCTCCCCGCCGATTCGGCGCTCCACCCAGTCTTGGAGCCGCACCTCCGGGGGACGGGTGGGTACGCCAAAGATTCCCCGTAGTGCCCCAAACCACAAAATTGGGGACCCCAAAAAACAAGAAGAGCCATAGGATCCGCTTCGAGCCGTGTGAAAGCACAAAGGGGACCCGAAACAAAAACACCGCGATGCGCATAGGTTCGGAAGCCCGCGATGCGTAGACAAAAGCTTGACATCTGGGCCGGCGCACCGGTGGCGGTAAGAATTTGCAGTGCGCTTTCACGTTCTGGTCGGAACCTGAAGCGTCAACAGGCTCAAGCTAGCAAGCATCTTTTGGGCAACCCTCAACACGAGTGTCCTGCAAAAGCAAAGCAGGCGAATGCAGCAAAGCCAAGCAAGCCAAGCAAGCCAAGCCAAGCAAAGCAGGCGAATGCAAAGCAAGCGAAAGCATCCAAGCCAAGACAAGCAGCCAAGTCAAGCAAAGCCAAGCAAAGCAAAGCAAGTGCAAGCAGCCAAGCCAAGCAAGCAGCCAAGTCAAGTGAAGCCAAGCAAAGCAAAGAAAGTGAAAGCAGCCAAGTCAAGCAAAGCCAAGCAAAGCAAAGCAAGTGCAAGCAGCCAAGCCAAGCAAGCAGCCAAGTCAAGTGAAGCCAAGCAAAGCAAAGAAAGTGAAAGCAGCCGGGCCAAGCAAGCAAGCAAGCAAGCAAGCCAAGCTAAGCCAAGCAAAGCAAGCAAAGCAAGCGAAAGCAGCCAAGCCAAGCAAAGCAAAGCAATCGCAAGCAAGCCAAGACAAACCAAGCCAAGCCAGAAAGCAAGCAGCAAGGGGACTGATGCCTCAAAGCGCGCCCGAGTACTTGGGAGCCCTTTGTCCATCTCCAGGGATGCAAAAATCGACAAATAAGCCAGACATGTCTGTTTGCCTTGGCCCGGCAAGGCAGCCTGAGGCAAAAGCTCAAGTCGACGAGTTTCGCCAAGTCCGGCGACGTCCAAGCCGCAAGGAAATCGAAGATCGCTTCTCTCCTCCAGCGTTGACCCTTACAAACCCCCTGCGAAAAACAGAGTCCTGACACTTTGATGGAGGACCGTACTACTCAGGGCAGAGTCCTCTTTTGCTGAGCAAATGATCTTATCTAAGGCGCTTGCCGGTCTAGCAGCCCCAGATAAATCCGATGTCATCATCGCAAGTGGGAGGGGCTGTTAGAGGCGGTCAAGCGACACGTCATCCGGCTGAGGCTCCCACAACGCCTCCTCCTCCTAGCACCAAAATTGGCAGACATGAACCAAACTCGAAGCACCCTAAAATGACTAGTTTCCTCTTGGTGTCCCTTTGAATACCAACCAGGGGCTCGCCATAATGAGAAATAGCAAATGAGCTTACGTCACAATTTATTTGGGGGCGCCCTGTTTGAATATTGGTACTGTCCTTCGGTTTCCATGGAAACTAACCTGAAACGGGCACGAACTCTGAAAACACACATGCACATGAATGCCCAAGCACCGGTACATCCGAACGCAATCACGCTGCACGGCCCATGCCATGAACGTGCCCACATGGATGGCCCTCCACTCCTGCTTGTGCCAATCAACGCTGGGTTGCCAGGTGAGCTCGAAATAGGCCAATTTGCTGCAGGCACGCTTGAGATTGCTTGTTGGCTCAAAAAACAACAAATATCCAACACCAGCGAGATAGAAATGCTCAAAAGCTGACACGGTTTCCTTTTGGTTTCCGTTCCATTCACAATTCTCCGAGCAGGCAAAGCCCTGTTGACTTTTGGTACCGCCCAACACTGACCTTGGCCTCCTCTTCGTCCCTGATTAAACCAGGCCTCAAAAAGCGACAAACCCATCTCACCTGTCCTTGGAGAAGCTGTCCTGGCTCAAACTGCTGAAGAAGGCCTGGAGTCGAAAAGGCTAAGGCTTTCAAGTCAGGCGAAAGGACTGATTCTGGGGTGACTTCGGAGTGACATTCATAAAATCATCTCCCAAAACCCTCCTGTGCATGATTGTTGGAAAGTAAAAATAGAAAAACCTCTAGCGCGGAAGATGCCTCCCAGCACCATGGCAACGTGCGATTCAAACTACTGACCCCTGGCCCCATCAGGCTCGCTGCAAGCAGAGTTCAATACAGGCAACAACAACAACAACAACAACAACAACAACAACAACAACAACAACAACAACAACAACAACAACAACAACAACAACACAACAGCAGCAGCAGCAGCAGCAGCAGCAGCAGCAGCAGCAGCAGCAGCAGCAGCAGCAGCAGCAGCAGCAGCAGCAGCAGCAGCAGCAGCAGCAGCAGCAGCAGCAGCAGCAGCAGCAGCAACAGCAACAGCAACAGCAACAGCAACAGCAACAGCAACAGCAACAGCAACAGCAACAGCAACAGCAACAGCAACAGCAACAGCAACAGCAACAGCAACAGCAACAGCAACAGCAAGCAAGAGCAAGAGCAAGAGCAAGAGCAAGAGCAAGAGCAGCAAGAGCAAGAGCAACAGCAACAGCAACAGCAACAGCAACAGCAACAGCAACAGCAACAGCAACAGCAACAGCAACAGCAACAGCAACAGCAACAGCAACAGCAACAGCAACAGCAACAGCAACAGCAACAGCAACAGCAACAGCAACAGCAACAGCAACAGCAACAGCAACAGCAACAGCAGCACAGCAACAGCAACAGCAACAGCAACAGCAACAGCAACAGCAACAGCAACAGCAACAGCAACAGCAACAACAACAACAACAACAACAACAACAACAAGAAACAACAACAACAACAACAACAACAACAACAACAACAACAACAACAACAACAACAACAACAACAACAACAACAACAACAACAACAACAACAACAACAACAACAACAACAACAGCAGCAGCAGCAGCAACAACAACCACCACAACTCAAAACAAATCAAAACAAAACCGAAACAAAACAAATGCTCAAACAAGACACAAAGCACAAAAGACAAAATACAACCCAAAAAAGACTGGGCAAAGCAAAGCGAAGCGAAACAAAACAAACATAAAACACAGAACAACGAGGCAGTCAGACAGAAGGGCAGACCGACAAACAGTCAGACAGAAAGTCAGACAGACAGACAAACAAACAAACAAACAAACAAACAAACGAGCGGACAAGCGGATAAATGCGGAAATAAACGACTATCAAAGAAACCAATGGAGACAATCCAAGAACCAACAGGAAACTGTCGAGAACAATCAATAACACTCAGTTGTTCAGTGACCCTGGAAAAAAGGGAACCCTTTTTTGGGAAGACCATTTTTAGTGGGGCAGCCACCAAAAAAAGGGGAGGAAACAAAAGGTGCCACTGAACAACTGAGAACACGAGTCTGTTTGATGAATCTGGGAATGTACGTTTATGTATGTATGTATGTATGTATGTATGTATGTAGGTGACAGTATGTATGTCTTGTCTTGGTTCCCCACGGCCAAAAGACTCTACGAATGCTCGCCTCGAGGCCCACGGCGGCAGCAGGGGCGCCCGTGGCGCTTGTGCCGGCGCCGCCAGACCCCTGAGTTCCAGGGTTCTTTGTTGCAAACAAGCCAAGTTCCTTGAAAGGATGCATCTGGGTATGGGTCAAAATGAAGCCACCAGGAATTGGACTGCAGGTTTTAGTCCATGTTTCCATTTACCAGGGTTGCAAATTGAGCCACCAGACCGCAGGTTCTAGTCCATGTTTCCATTTACCAGGGTTTCATTTTGGTATCGGAATTTTGACCCATGGCCACATCTCAATCTAACTGCTGGTATATACATCATGTGCAGAATAACCAGTTGCCCAGCGAGGGTGATCTCAGGGCGCATTTTGTGATAATGCTTCATGGGGGTGTCCAAAAATGAGGGACATGTGCATTCAATTTTGTGGCTATAGGCAGAGTTCAACCCCGCTTCCCCTTTGCGGGAGTTAACCCCCAGCACCCGCCATTAGGAGCCACTTGTGCCCTGGTAAAACATCTGTCTGTAGACATTCACCATTGTCTTGCTTCCCTTTCGTCGAACAGTCATCCCGGAGTTCTTTCTTCAAAGCTCGTCAAGATTCTGGCTTTCTCTGCGTTTGGAACATTGCAAAACTGCGGGCAGGGCCGCGACCCGAGGATCTGGGGGGAGGGCTTGAGAGATGGATGAGACTGGAAACGCGAAGGAAGCCCTCACGAACCCTTGATGTATTGGACGACTTCTTTGCGCACGAGTATCAAATAAAATCTGTCGGCTTAGCGCTTTTCCGCTCGATGGTAAAATTCATGCTTTGACTTGAACATCCTTGGGTGGACATCGTGTCCATGGTGCATGTCCATATGGCTATGATTTTTTTTGGGGGGTGTAACGCGCGACGCGCCACGAATCTTGTTACGGAGGTCTGTAACGGAGGTCCTTGTTACGCAGGTCTGTAACGGGACAAATATTTCATGACAAGCAGTATCAGTAGCACAATGTAGCGCAGCACAACGAGGTATGTAATGGCTATGTAACGAGGCTTGTAGCGAGGCAAAGCAAAGCGCAGGACGCAAAGCGCGCCTCCGCAGCTCCAGCTTGATTGCAGCTACTCAACGCAAGCCAAGCTGCGGCAAAAAGCGGGGTCGCTGGCCCGGGCTGGGGGTTGGGTCTGTAACGAGGTATGTAACGGCTATGTAACGAGGTCTGTAACGAGGCAAAACGAAGCGCAGTACGCAAAGCCCGCCTCCGCAGTACCAGCTTGCTTGCAGCTATTCAACGCAAGCCAAGCTGTGGCAAAAAGGGGGTCGCGGGCCCGGGCTGGGGTTGGGTCTGTAACGAGGTATGTAACGGCTATGTAACGAGGTCTGTAACGAGGCAAAGCAAAGCGCAGCACGCAAAGCACGCCTCCGCAGCTCTATTCAACGCAAGCCAAGCTGCGGCCAAAAGCGAGGTCGCTGGCCCGGGCTGGGGTTGGGTCTGTAACGAGGTATGTAACGGCCATGTAACGAGGTCTGTGACAAGGCAAAGCAAAGCACTTGATTGCAGCTACTCAGCGCAAGCCAAGCTGCGGCAAACGACACAGGGCAGTCACGTCACTGGCCCGGTTTGTTCAGCTGAGGTGTGTAACGAGGGCGTGTAACGAGGGTGTGTAACGAGGGTGTGTAACGAGGGGTGTGTAACGAGCCAGCTGGTTTTGTTACAGAGGTCTGTAACGAGGTCTGTAACGAATGTCCGCCGCGGCTCTGTTACAGACCCCTCAAAAAAAATCACTGCCATATGTTTGAGGGCGCTGCAACCACCAATGTCAAAGCCATTTGGGTGCGTCTTCAAACAAGGGCCCAAACATTGTGTTGTTTCCTTCAGTGTCCCTCTCACCCAACGACATTTGGAACTCAGCTCCAAAAACCTTATTTTTGGTGAAGGGCGCTAGCTCAATCCCGGAAAAACCTCAACCCAAGAAAAATGGAGCGTGTGTCAAAAATAGGGGACCCCATGGATGTCGATGTTGACATATTTCTTCCAGAAGCCTTAAATGGTGTTCCCTCATAAAAGCAGAGTCTTCAGGTCTCACCTCCTTCCGACCGGGCTCCGCACAGTGAGCAACGTAATCTCGCCTCTGGTTCGGACGAGTACCAAGGTTCCAGCGCATGAGTAGGGAACGTAGCCCATTTCAACAAAAACATAAAATTATTTGGTAGGTTTCGGAAGGGTTGAACGCAAAGAAAGCTGACATCCAAATGAGCAAGAGATCGTTTCAAGGTAGTGGTCACTGTCTCCAAATAAAAACAAAACCCAACATTGGGTGTTATCCCTTTTTCTTCTGTTTGAAAAAGACCCCCCCCCCGAAACATAGTCCCAGGGGAAAAATATGTACGCAAATCCTTTTGAAAATGATTATGCGCTTTGGCTGGTTTGGGTATGTCTTTGCTTTGGGGTTCATTTGGGGGGTCTCTTCCACACATACTTTATGCTTCAGGGCTGACCAAGCATAGAACAGGATCAGACAATATGTTTTTCTGCGTACCCCAAATGTGGTTGGATGAGAATTTGAGAAAGGCAGACCACCCAAAGTACCCGAAAAATCTGAGACCAACCTCCACAACTACTTCCTCATGTGTCTCGATCTTTTTCGAACAACTGATTAAGCACATAGGGGAAGCGGCTGGTTCTTGGGATTGAAAGAGCAGGAAACAGGAATCACCATTGTGGAGCAAGAGGCCCCAATTTCCCATGTGTGCAGTCGAAATGACTGGTCTATGGTCCTTTTAGGGGCATGGGGACTCGCAAAAAAGGCAGCGGCAAAATACACCCTCAGTCCATCCCCACACGCAAGAGAGCGAGGGTGCGAGATAAAGAGAGAGGGGAAAAAAGTAATAATAAAGAAAATGAGTGGGAGCTCGGCTTTTGCCGCCCCCGCCCCTCCAAACTCAATACATGTTGATATGCTCTCGCATCCTCACCTCAGCATTTGAGGGGTCTTCTAGCAACTTAGTAGATTGGTTTACCGCGAAATATTGTGAACAATGGCTGCGATTCCCCCATAAACCCCCATCCATCCATGGGTGTTTCTGAAAGTATGGGACCCCTGAGATCGCGTGCCTTTTGTTGTGTGTCCCTGGAAAACCATTGGGGAAGCTTCCCCGCACGCTTCGCCCGCGGAATCCTTCTTTGGCCCAGCCGCACTGGCCGCGAGGGTCCTGCACTGCTTTCAGCTCCCCACCCAGGCGCCGATCCTGTCCGCGACTGGGCGGAACAAACGGGCTGTCTTTCGTGGGGAGCCCTTTTCTTGTATGACGAGCACTGCTACCATGAGTTATCCCGGGGCCTTCCCCAACAAAATGCGTGTGGCCCTTTGGCTTTCCCTTAAAATCCGAAAACGCACCCTCAAAAAAAGACAGACTCTTGGGTACACCAGTGTGATGATTTGTTGAAAGCCAATCCTTTGAAAGGTAGAATAGGACCTGAGAGCTCTAACTGTAGTAGCAGGAGAAGCGACAACCTTCTTAGTTTGACTGCTGGTTTAGTGGTGTGAACGTAGAGTGGCAGCATTCCCCTTGTGAAGCTAAGCAGATCAAAAAGGAGGCTGTGCCATCGCCTTTCACCCAACCGTACACGCAAGAACCACCTGCTTTACAAAACAAGGATTCATGCTGCTGCACACTTTTCGGCACCTGTACAAGCATAGTCCCACCCAGGGCGACGGCTGTTCATGCCACGGAGGTAAGCCGAGGGCACAAGGCCAGGCAGGAAGCAGTGTCCAGCACAGGACGGCCGGGGTTTCTCAAAAGAGTTTGAGACCACCTACCACGCTGGAAAGAGCAGAGCCTCGCTGAAGAAGAGGACAGTGACAACCAGCCCAAGGAGAAAAGAAGCAAAAGCCAAGCACAGGAGCTGGAAGGCCGAGGATGAGCCGGGATGAGGGCAGGAGATTCCCTGCGGAATGACAGGTAGATTGGGGGTGAGCCACGCGTGCCCATTGCATTTATTGAGAAGCAGGGCATGATTTTCGCCTCGGCGCCCACGAAAGGAAAACGGTAAGACCTTTTCAGAAGTGAGCCTGGAGCCCAGCCGTGCCCAGCTCCCCCCCCCCCCCCACACCACTTTTTCCCAAAAAGATTTTTGCCTAGGAGTCGTGCAAACCAGTCCAACTCCGGCAAACCCTCAGAAACCGGTCAAGTTCCCCCGCTCTCTGGAAAGCATTCAAACCCCCTCGAAAACCGGCCCAACTCCAGTCAAGCCACATTCCCCGAAACCAGTCAAATTCAGTCAAATCTCCTCTAAACACATGTCCCTAGAAACCGGTCAAATTCCTTACATATCCCCTCAGGCTTTGCTTGGCCCCAGTCACTGCCCTTCTGTCGCTCCTCTCTGACTGCGGCTCTTGTCCCATCTAGCCCGCACATTTTCGGTGCCGAATCACTCATTCAAGCAAAGGCAAACCAAAACACAGAACCTCAAAGACAGCCAAAAGCATTCTGACAGAGGCGGGCAACGCGAAGCGTTTCAATTAGGTTTGCCTCTAACGTCGACATCTGATTTGTTCAAATGCCAGTTGGGCAGTCCCTGGAAGAGTGGGGGAACGCTGACCATCGTGAAATGCTAAAAAGTGCCAGAAAAGGCAAGTCCATTGCGATTCAAGCGGGTGCAGAGGCAAGGCAAAATACAAAACCACCTCCCTCTGAGCGCCAGGCAATCCACTGTTGCAACCTCAGACAAAGCACATGGAATGCACAGCCACAGTCAAAATACCCTGTTCCCGCAAAGGACATGGGAATAGCGGTGAGTCTGCTGTTTTGAATAAAAAAATATTGTGCGTGTGAACCTTACATGGTCAAAACTGTTTGTGGAGGTTGCATGGCTGGAACAAGTCACAACAGTTGCTCACAATGAGTGCGTCTATAGTCGGTGACTACCCTACCTCGGCAACCCCCTCAAAAATAAATCTTGGGTTGAAAGGATTCTCTATCACGATGCCATGTGCGCCATGCTGAAACCAAAAGAGAACACCTGATCTTGCATGGCAAGCTGCGCCTACCTTCCAGTCCAGCCATTTTGGAGGGCCCAATCCCCATTTTGACATCTGCAACCAGACGGGATGCTCTCTACATGAGAGACCCCCAATTGAATGGTTCCCTTCTTGGTTTCCCTTTAAACCCACCTCAAGAAGACGAGCGGGCCCCAAAAAAAAACGATACCCCGTAAAAATTGGAAACCCGTGCTTCTCCAGTCAGGTCCCGGGCGGGAAGCGCGCTCCCGGGAGGCCCAGTTCTTGCGCCCGGGTGGCCGCATTGATGAGGGCCTCGCCGGGTGTCCGGGGTTCGAGCCGCAACTTGGGGGCCTGGTGCTTCCCTCTCGGTTTGGAGTCGTGGATTGGTCTTCTTTTCTTCTCTTATTTTTTCCGGTCAAGGCTGGTTTCGGTTCCCGTACAAGAGCCAAAAGTTGTCCTTCCCCAAACCACCAACCCAAACCACCAACTTTAAAGCCTTCCTGAGCCTTGACCCCCTCAAAAACAAGTGACCCCAAGAAAACGCGTGGACAAAGTTGTTCAACTCGCTGAGTGCTTCTTGGCCGGATGCAAATGTGCTACTTGAGCGTTCCAAGTCGAAGATCGATCCAAGACTTCCCTTCCAAGACTTGGGTTCTTTGCTTCGCCGAACCAAAAAGCCAAAGCCCGGCACCTCCCGGAGCTCCGTCTCGAAGCTCTCGAACCTAAGTGGATAAAACATCAAAGCGGAGCCCTTCTCCATAAGGGAACCAGAAACTGCTTCTCCATGCCTCGTTGCTTCAAGGCTGCATTCCAAGAACCCTGTACGCACAAGTAAGAAGGGTTGCCCCCTCAAAATCACTTGCTGTGAAACCATGTTCATTCCGGGATCCTCATTGAGCTTCTACCCGGGTTTTGAGTACCTGAGCTGTTCAAAATGAAGTGTTGGCCAATCTCAATCCATCATCCCCACTGGAAAAAAAACACTACAAAGGGGACGCCTTTCGTATCGCAAGGGAAGCGTTGTGAATTGCCTTTGAACAGCCCAGTCTTTTGATGGCATGCATTGTACTGCTCGGAACACCCTCACAAATAGTTGGACATAAACTCCATGTCAGCAGTGCCCAAAACCCATTGACTCTCGGTCTGCTTAGAGTGCTCACCAGCCCACAAAATGGTCAATGGGTGTTTAGGTGCTCATGTCAAGGTGAGAAATGCATGGGCCTATGGATCTCGATAGGGGGCTTCATCTCATTTGAGTGGCGGGCGTGAATCCCCACCGAAGTTTGATGTCCACAGAGGCCAAAAAATATATACCTCATGTAAAGGAAAGCCACCAGTTTGACCGCCCCCTTGGGCACATACCCATACCCATCTAGGTGCCAAAAATGGCCGGCGTCATTTGTTGGTTTGCTGTTGAAATCAACTAAAAGGAAAGAAGCACACTCCCAAATGTGGGCTGTGGTCATTCTGCAGCTTCCTGAACAACATGTCAGGTGAGTCATCCTGTGGTGTGCCATATCGGCTCATGCATAGGGGGCCCCCTTTTTGTCCTATTCAGACCGGGAGGTCTGGCTTCCAGCCATAGTGACTGACGGCCGTCCGACAGCTGAAACAGGTGCGCTGAGCGCCTTGCCTTCGTGGACATTGTGTTGCACATTGATCCCCCGTGAGCCCAACACTGAACCCTGTGCCTCCGCTACATTGGTAGCGGAGCGCTACGAGCCTGGACCTCTTCAGTTGAGCCGATTCTCAAAGAATCTTGATCTCCTGAAGTTCCCCTGCTTCATTGCTGCTGCTTGGTCTTCAAGTTTTTGGCGGCGCTCCTTTATTTTCTGCACTTACAGGTGAGACGACCTGGACCTTGCTTTACAGTTTTCTATTCAAGCCATGGCTGAGAAGGAACATCATGTGCCCACCTGGGATGGCTCTGCTCGCTCCTGGAGACGCTACACTCGAGAAGTGTCATGGTTCGTTCGCAGCACGCCATATCATAAACGGAGGTATTGCGCCACCAAACTGGTGAGTCGGTTGTCTGGCCCTGCGAGGCTTCTGGCTATGTCATGGCGCAATGCGGATTTTGATCACGTTGGCGGCACTAAGCTCTACCTACAGCGTTTGGCCAGCAGTCCGCTGGTCAGGCAAAGCCTCCCGAATGCTGCAGCAATTTGCCAGCAGTATTTTGCATTTCGTCGCCAACATGGAGAAGCAATGCATGCTTTCCTCGTACGGGAAGCACTCGGCTACAGCGAATTCATCGAGGCGCTGGAACGCCTTAAGGATGATAAGATGGGCATCGAACAGCACGAGAAGGACTTCGACCTTCCCGAGGAGTATGTCACCGACGAGGCGGAGCTGGGTGAGGATCAACCTGATCCTGATGATGATGATGATCGCGGAGACCGTGCTCGACCTTCTCCCTCACCTACACCCAGACCTGCGGCTGGTGACACCGATGGATCAGTTGGCTCCCCTCTTCGACCTCCACCGAGATCCACACCAAGTCGGCATTCTGCCGCAGTTGGTCCGGATGACCCTGGATTCTCCTTGGCAGATTCTTTTGTGCTTGGAGTACTTCGTGGGTTTCGACTGCTACAGGCGGCGGGACTAAATGCTGACGAGAAGCGTGACATCGTTTCTGCTACTCGTGGATCCCTGGAGTTTGAGGTCATCGTCAAGGCTCTCCAGACCATGTGGGACGAACAGCTTCTAGGTAGACCGGGAGTATCACATCAATCCCAACCTCGTCCTTCCTGGCACTACCAAAACATGATTGAGTCCCCCATGGAGGAGTCCGATTGGTGGCTTCAAGACTACGCCGCGGAGACCGATGGGACTCCTGGACGGACCCTAACTATGACCAGTACTACGGGTACGGCGACATCCCTGAAGAACCTGAACCTTCTGAAGCTCAAGCCCATCAACTTCAAGGTGATGATCCTGCTGATCCTCAACTACAGGAAGCTCAAGCCGCTGAGCGCATGGCGGAAAACCTCGCCATGGAGGCCCAGCGTACATGGACTGAAGCTCAGCGAGCTACAGCTGCTCTTCGACGAGATCGTGGCTTTGGCCATCAGAAACCGATGTCTTCCTCAGACACCGGGTGCTTTCGATGCGGAGGTCAACACTTCGCTCGGGACTGCCCAGATCGGTCCCATCCGGGTGCCAAGAATCGCCCTAAGGGTCGCTTCATGCACTACGTCGACGACTTCGCGACGTACCACGACGACTACTTCATCGGCAAGGGCAAGGGCAAGAGCAAGTCGAAGGGGCGCAAGGGCAAGTTCGCCAACTGGATAGATCTTCAGGCTGCTTGGAAAGGCTCCAAAGGAACCCCCAAGGGATCGCCTATTGGCCGTCCACCTGTGAACATGTACAACACGGAGTACTATGCCCACGGCCTGGAATTCTTCAACAGTCACTCCGACCTGCCTACCAACGGCAACACCCCGCATATTCAAGATGGTGAAGCTCTGATCGATTGTGGAGCCACCGCGTCAGCTGGCCCTGAGGAATCAGTCAAGGGACTGATCAAGTCAGTTTTGGCCTTGGACAAGGCAGCTTCCATCCAGATTGAAAAGTACATGCGGCCGTGCTTTCGCTTTGGCAATGGTAAGTGGGGTAAGGCTCTATATCGTGTCACTATCACATCTACCAGTTCAGGACAACCCCAGAGCTTCTCCATCTTCATCATCCCCAGTTCGACAAAACCAGCTTGGTCCCCTTACTTCTGGGCATGGATCACTTGGCAAAGGACCCCTCAGCGATGATCATTGACTTTTCCACGGGACTGGCTATGGATGCTCATGACCCTCATCCAGAACCATATCAACTTCGGACCACCAAGAAGGGCCACTATGTCTTGGACCTCGTCCATTACTTGACTAGGGGATGTGGTAATGATCAAGGCCATCCGGAAATCCGTGTACTCCATCAAGCACCCCCTGAAGTGGAAACCATCCATCAACTGGAATTCCATGCGGTTGAGTATTATGACATGACCGTGGATCATATCGTTCCTGATGAGGTACGGGTTGAACAATCTTGTGAAAGACTCCGAACTCTGCATGCCGCATCGTTGCTCTTCGAAATGACCAACCATTTCATGACCCGTCAGCTGCCAGTTGCTCAATGTCTGGTGGTAACAGTACCCCTTGCAATTCGAGAACTCCTCAGTTCGGCGCTGATGGCTCAGCCTTCGACTCCAACCGTGACGACCGCCGAAGCCGAGGAGTTGATTGGTCACATCAAGAAGAGTACTCCGAGCCGCAGTCCGGCCCGACCTTTGGATCCGAGTCGCAAGAATGGGATCGACCTTCGAGACCCCCGTGCACAGATGGCTCAATGGCCATGCTACGGCAAGCATCTCCCTGCTCGAGCTCAGGCCAACCCACACGCTCAATGGATCGATTGTGCCGTATGTCAAGTGCGTCTGGAGTACATCCCTCGAAAAGGGTCACATGGCAACTCCGAGAACCCCGGCATGGTGCTGAGGATGCTCAACGAGCTGCAGCCCCTGATGAATGGTCACATTCCCACGGCCGACATCTGCCGGGCGATGTTCAAGAAGATCGAGGCCGAGGAAGCTCTGCACTCCTCCATCGAGGCGGTCATCGGCCAGTCCCTGGTCTCCAAGGGCTACCCGACCAAGAAGGTCTCCAAACCTCAACCTCAAGCACAACCATCCGTCAGCAGCACACCGACAAGCTGGGACGCGGTCGGCCAGGAGCTGGAGGAGGAGTCTCAGTGAAGGCTCATCCAGTCTCCCACAACATGGCCAAGAAGGTAATGCTGATGGCCACCCTCATGCTCAACCAGCTCACCACCGAGACTGCGAAGTTTGTCATGGATGGTCGTGACGGACTCTGGGAAATTGCATGCGCACCTCATTCCTGGCTATCTGAAGCCTGTGATCGAGAAGGTCTTCAACCTCATCGAGTCAATCTTGAACAAGGATATGATCTCTATAAGCCGGCCAGCTGGCAGCGTCTTCGAGAAGAATATCGTCGGCGACGCCCTCGGCGCCTCTGGTTCTCACTACCTTGCACGAAGTGGTGTCCTTGGAATCGGTTGAACTACCGGACTCCTGAGCGTCGAGATCTTCTTGAAGACCTTATCGACGACGCGAACGTCGCATGCTCAAGCAGGCCAATGCCTTCATCAAGGACTGCCTCAAGGTTGACCCTGATGTACTCATCTACTGGGAATGGCCGGTACAATGTGAGGGCTGGAAAGAATCCACCCTGCTTGACCTCAAGAGTTACATGGACACCAACTTCATCCCCTGGAATCCGTGCCGGATAGATGGCTGTGTCTATGACATGCGCACCACCACCGGTGAGTTCTTGAGGAAGAAGTGGCGCATTCAGACCAACGATGAATCCTTCTGGCATTCCTTCCGCTGTAAGGTCTGCTGTGCCCAAATCCTCATGGTGAAATCGCTGGTCAGGAGACCGCCAAGACGGCCTACTACCCTTGGAAGATGGTCACTTCCTTTGCACGCTTCTGGCGCGATCAAGAAGTTGGACTTCGGCAACTTCGTTGTGCAACGGCCATCAAGAATCTTCACGACTTGGAAGAGGAGGTGGACATCTTTCCTGCTGCTCTACCTGCTGATGATCCACCACCAGCTGGTGACCCTGCCGTACCAGTGCCTGGACCTCCGGTTCTACCTGCTCCTGTTCCCCCTGCTGCTCCACCGGTAGTTCATGATGGTGATGGTCCCTCTCCAGAAGAGCTTTGCAAATGGGAAGCGAAGGTGGCTCATTATCACAAGGCTGCCGGACATCCTACGTCCCGGAATCTGGTTCGTCTACTTCGAGAATCAGGTCAACCACAATGGAAACTACGGGCAGCCGAAAACTACAAGTGCCCGGGATGTGAATCTCTTCGACCTGGTGGCACCAGCTCCGGTGCTATCCCACCAGCAGCCACACACGAGCTCTATGGACCCTGGGAAACTGTCGGTGTGGATACAGCAGAGTGGACCGCGCCTGGCCTCCTCAAGAAGGTCAAGTTTGCTGTGTTCATCGATTTCGCTACTCGGCTGCGAGTCGTGATTCCCTTGCTCGAGGCCTACGACCTCTTAGTCATGAAGACCGAGAATGCCGAACACATGATCAAAGCCTTTTCTGAAGGCTGGCTGCGCTTCTACCCGAAGCCGATCCACCTCATCACCGACAACGGCATGTCCTTCACTGCAGAGCGCTTCACAGAGTTCTGTAGATCCGCTGGCATTGATCACACCTTCCCGCCGGAGAAGGAGTCTTGGAGTCATGGTATCGTTGAACATGCCGTGCGAGACATCAAACACACTGCCAGCGCCATCCAGCTGGAGGCCTTGGATCAAGACCCTGCGGTGACCTTGGCTCTAGCCGCATCTGCCCTGAACAGTACTGAGTACACCTCTGGATTCACCTCGCACCAATGGGCGTTTGGTCGGGACTACAACATCTCCGAGGAGGATCACCGCTCCCACATGCAGCTCTCCGACCGCATGACCTACTCCAACCTGGTGGCGGCTCGTCAGAAGGCCGAGGAGGTTGCCCGAAAAACTCGCTCTCAGCGTATCTTGACCCGCCTTGGCAACTCCAAAGCACGACAACCCCTACGAACCTTCCAGCCCACTGAGCTCGTCAAGATCTGGCGGAAATCACTTCCCTTGGAACAGTTTACTGGACCTCGAGGCGGTCTTCGCAAGTCGGGCAGACCTGGTTGGATAGGACCTGGACGGGTGATCTTCATGGAAGTCTTGCCTCACCAGAAGGAGGACGATCCTAGACGTCACATTGTCTGGGTGCTGATGTCTGGCAAGCTGTTTCGCTGCAGTGTGCACTCTGTCCGGCCAGTCACTCCCACAGAGCATCTTCGCTGGGACCTCACCAACAAGGAGGACCCTACACGATGGAAATCGCTGTCAGACCTACTCCCCCGTAAGGAGTACCACGACATTACCGACGAGATACCGGATGCCAACGAACCTGAAGAATGTCATCTCCCACCATCTCCAGATTCCAGTACTCTGGTTCCTCTCCGACGACAACACACCAAGCGCACTATGGCGCCGGAAGATTACAGGAGGGTGCATCGATCGTCTCCCATTGGGATTGGACCGTCGCGATCCCTGTCAACTACAAGTCCAACTGGACTTTCAACGGTGCCCGATGCTCCCGATGCTCCTGAAGTTCCTGAAGCTGGCCATGAACCCTCTTCAAGTTCTGGTCTTCGTCGTGTGCCCGAAGATGGTGATGAAGATGTCAATGACTATGATCCGGACCCCAAGAAGGCTCGCACCATCGACTACGATATCAAGTGGGTTCAGATGCTTGAATCCGAGGCTCAACAAGAAGTCAACAGCCTCGACCTGCACTCTGCGCTCCAGGAAGTCGAGGACTGCCTCTCCATCACTTTCGATGTGACATTGGACTCCAACAAGCAGCGCAAGAGCCTGGAGTATAACCCCACAGCCTTCCTGGTAAAAAAGATGAACTCCTCCGAGGTGCAGTTGCAGAAGCTCACACCTTCACTTCGTGGACTCTTCGAGAGAGCCAAGACCAAGGAGGTGAACTCCTTCCTGAAGAATGAGGCTGTCCGTAAATGCCTGGACGATGCAGAGATTTCTCGTGCCTACTCCACGAACCGCATCCTCAAGGCGAGATGGGTTCTGACCTGGAAATCTGTACCTCCTGAAGATCGACAAGAAGCTCTCCTGGACTCCAAGAATAACCCGGACACGGTTCACACTCCTGATGGTAGCCGCAAGGCCAAGGCACGCATTGTGCTGCTTGGTTTTCAACATCCGAGTCTTCTGGACCCGACCTTCAAGACTGCTGCCCCAGTCCAATCAATGATTGGTCGCAACCTGCTGTACTTGATGGCTGCCACGCATCAATGGCCCATTGAAGGACTGGATCTGGCGACAGCGTTCCTGCAGACGCAACCAACGGAAGCGGATGCTGAAATCTGGACTTCAGGAGTGGAAGAGCTCAGGTCAGCCTTGCATGTGGGAAAGGAGGGCATAATGCGAACTCTTCGCAATGTGTATGGCTCGACTACAGCTCCACGTGGTCTCTGGTTGGACCTTCACAAGACCCTGGTCAAACTCGGTGCCGTGCCACTCCTTGGTGAGCGCTGTCTTTGGGCTTGGTTCTCCAAGAGTGAAAAGGACAGCACTGGTCAATTTCCTCGTCTTCTCGGAGCCATGGGAGGTCACGTAGATGATTTTCATCGAGTTGGTGATCGTGGCTCTGCTGAATGGTTGGACATCTGCGATGCCATCAACAAAGCCTACACTTGGGGCACGACCAAGACTGGTACGTACCGCCATGCCGGCACCGATGTCACCACCGTTGATCTCAAGAACGGCAAGTTCATGATAACAGTCAACCAAGACTTCTACGTAGAGTCCCTGATGGATGTAGCGATTCCTGCAGACCGTCTACGGCAAGATGGGCCCCTCACTGTCTCTGAGGTGAATGCATGCCGCACTGCCTTGGGAGCTCTCCAGTGGCTCGCTATTCAGAGT